CTTACACAAGTTTGTTTTCATTGGTTGGGTTTTTCCAAGGTGAGTCCATTGAGGGGACTCGAGTGACTGGTGTGTGACCAGCTGCTGGTGTATGTGTGGCTTGAGGGTGTTGCCAGCCACTGTTTGGGTGTGTGATGCAAGGTAGTTAATGCCAGCGATGTGGGAGGAAAGTGATCATGGCTTGGTAGCTCTGAAATGAAACTGAACAGATCTTGAAAATAAAATACAAACCATATACAATACATAAAAGATGTGAGCCACCCTATCAGGGTTAAGAGAGACTATAAAAGCATCATAAAACACTCTTTTTCAATAAAATGTTCAAAATACATAGGCGGATCAAGAAGTTGTGTGTGTGTGTGTGTGCGCGTGTGTGCATGTGTGCACCTCCTTCTTCTCCCCCCCTCCTTCCTTTCTCCCTCTATCTTTCTCCTCTCTCTTGCTCTCTTTCTCTCTCTATCTTCTCTAGACAGCTGTGTTTTGGATGGGGGAAGATTTCTCCACTGTACTCAAGAAAATAAAGTAATTGAATAAATCAGTTAACTAATAAATTATACAGAGGAGATAATTGTTAATTGGTCATGCATATTTTATTCAAGTATATACTGAATATTTGATAAAGGATTACAATACAATGGGCTGACTCTAATATGTCACAGGTTAACGTTAATATGCACTTTCCAAACAATCTATGAAACATTGTAGACAAGACATGCATTTTTGAATACTGTTTTGTACATGGGTTCAAGTCACCTTGTAACTGACAGTAATATATGTTTTTAGCAGCATTTTCCAAGAAGCCTACTGTCTCACTTACTGTGGATCTATAATTATATGATCATTTGTAGAAATATTACGGAAAGACTTCCACCCGTATCACCCCTTAAATTTTATTCTAGTCAAATCATGTCACCTGAATATATATTCCTCATCTGATGATTATGACTTTTAACATGTTTCTTTAATTGTATCTGAACATACTGAAAGACATATCAAACTTCTAAAAATGCCAATCCAAGAAATATTTCCTCATTGTTAAAATTGGGGTGGGGTGGTATACGGGCGGAAGTCTTACCAATGTTACAACATGATAACCTTTGTGGACTGGTATACTGCTCAGAAAGACTTAATAAATTTGTATTTTTGTCTGTATTATGTCAACACAGTATTGTTGTTTTATCTAAACCAATATCTAAGCTGGTGTTAACCTTCCTGATAAATGTAAACAGCAAGCTATGAAGTATAAATATTATTGTTTTGACTGTATATGAGAGTGGTAACTGAGTAGGCCTGTACTGACCGGAAACTAGGACAGATTATGTCTATTTTCGACCCTGAACCTGATGTAGGTCACTGGAGTAGGTAGAGTGACCTGGTTTGTGTCTTTATGTAAGCAATGAACCAAACAATGTGTCCTTGCTGAAACAGGCATGGCCAGTGTGTATCCATTAAATGAAGATTAATTATTTGAGTGTCAACTCTAGCAGTGTCAGTTTAGTATATCGTAAATGTTACTGTCTAATGACTGTTGGTCCACATTGTTAATGTGAACAAGGCAATATGATCATTTGTTTGGTTGGTGTTAAATGCTGCACAAAGCAATATTCCTACTTTAGGATGGTGATCTGTAAGTAATCAGATCTGTGTGAGACAATCTAGTGATGGATATCAACAGCCTTAAACTGCGTAGCTAACGTATCAACCAGCCTGACCATCTTATCCTGTTAGACACCTCTTACAAGAAACATGGCTTCCTGAAGAACAGTTCTTATCCTGATTATTATACTTCTAAAATCTAAAGTCTCAAATATTTTATTTCAAGTGTCTTTTTCACTACATTTTCCGAGGCTTTCACAAAAATGGGGATCACAAAGTCAGATTCTGTGACTTAGCTTATCACTAAACAACTTCAAATCTCCCTCCCTCACTCACTCACTCACTCAAAGAATGCTTCATCGGTATTCTCTATAACAAAACAGAATCTGTACATATGCATCTCTTTATACAACCTCATTATTATTATTGTCTGAAGTCAGAGCCATTTCTGGTGTCCCCCGCCGTGATGTTGCTGGAATATTGCTAAAAGCAGCGTAAAACCAAACTCAGTCAGTCTGAAGTCAGAGTCATCAATAACTTTCTAAGTATTTCAGCATGTTCATGATCAGATATCAACTTTGGTAGGACGCTGGAGTAGCCTACTAGTTAAAGCGTTCGCTCGTCATGCTGAAGACCCTGGTTTAATTCCTCACATGGGTACAATGTGTGAAGCCCATTTCTGATGTCCCCCTACATGATATTGCCGTAATAATGCTAAAAGCGGCGTAAAACTAAACACACTCTCTCAACTTTAAGATGGCACCCACAAACATATTCATGATATTGTATCTCAGTTCATGTGTCAAATATGATGAGCCCTTTTGAATGTAAGATGACGTGATGAAACGATGTCAAATATTTTTGACTTACTGGAATACAGTTGTGAATTTAATGGATTAATTTGATGTGGGGGGATGTGTTTTGTTGTTTACTTCAAGAAAGTGTGATCGGTCAGAAACTATACCAGGCTTGTTTTCATGCAAGGTTGAAAGGTCAATGTCCATATTTACAAAGATAACAGTGTTGTGGTACATTCACCCTGGGGCATAATTTGTGGTCACCTGCAAAAATGTGTGTATCTTTCTCGCTGGATTTGGGGGCTTGCCAGAAAGGCCTGAGAAATTAGATGATTTTAGAGCTGTAAGCTTATTTAAAAAATGTTGTGTCACTGAATGTCCAAACGTCTGAATAAATACTGTTGGAATGTTGATGATTGCTGCTTTAAACAACAAACAAATGAACTGTTGATTATATATGAACATGTAAATATGAATCCTTGACTTTAGTCTCTAGTACTAAGCCAAGGTCTAGTAAGATTCTGTTCAGGCAAGTGAGCTCAGCTAGAAATAGTCTACATAATATCACTAAATGATGCTAAGAGCCAGGGCAAAGCCAGCCAGCCACAAAGCGATCATAGTGGTAAGGTGATTATGCTATCACATAGGCAAACGATCATTGTAGCGCAAAGATCGCTTTGTGGAACAATTTATTGCCAGGAATGGGCTATTTGTCTCAAATATCTGAAAAGCTTTTGGTTCAGATAGGTTTTTGTGTGTAAAAATATATATGTTTTTCATACAAAATGTAAGTCACCCAATTAATCTCACACATGGAAAGGTTGACATACAAAACATGCAGATACTCATTAATTCAGGTAACTGTTAGAGGGAGGCAGGTGTTCATCCCAGTATGCTACAAGCACTGTTCAGGCAACCAGCCCCAAGATATTTGTTGCTTATATCAGTCAGTCAGTTTCTGGCTGATCAATCATCATTATTCATTTCTGGGAACACCCAAAGCAACACCTACATGAGTGCCTTATTGCAGTTTCAGCCATCGAGTTGTATGTCTGGCAGCCCGGTCAATAAATGGGTTTCCATTGATTTTCCAGCCCTGTCAATATGACTACAGAATTTAAAAAGCTTTTAATATCTGCACCAACGGCTGTAGCCTTTTTAGCATATTTATTAACAGTCAATAATGCATCTATGACAACTGTTGGGCAGTAACATCTCGGTGTATAAGGCATTTCCGTGTTTCATTTGTTACGCCCCTTCTTGATATTGCTAGCAAAGTGGAATAATTCAAGTAGCTGGCTAATAGCTATTCATGCTCCCACTTTGTGTTATATGTTCACGGTTGAGTTTGAATACAGCATTATTTATCGGGTTTTTTGTATTGTGGTGAGAATGAGGAAACGTTGCAGGATAGAAACTTTATCATTTTTACAATATTCAGAATTGACTGAAGGAATATTCACAATTGACTAATCTGTAACAGGTGCTTGATGATCTTCAGCCAGGAATATTTGTAAAACTGTTACCATTTGTGGGCCCAAAACACATTTTTTTGTCACTAGTATACATATAGGGAAATAAAGTAAACACAAAATTTCCCTTTACCAAAATGAGACTTTGGTGGATGGTGTTAGATGAGTACCTAATATTTTCCCTGCATTTGTGTTGGCTTAGCTTTGAGTGGGGATTCTGAAAACAGTATCCATGTTAGTAGAATTACTCTTAAGCATGTGAGAATCCTGGGCACAATTATAGGTATTCAGCAACATGTGCCTTTCATGAGAGTTGTTCGTGGTGTAGTGGTTAGAGGGTCCGCCCGGAGTGCGGAAGGTCGCGGGTTCGATCCCCGACTGCGTCATACCAAAAGACGTTAAAATATGGTACTTGTCGGTCCCTGCCTGGCCCTCGGCATTAATGGGTACAACAAGGACTGGTCGGCTCGGAGTCAGTATAATGTGTCTGAGTGGGGTATTCATGCTTCACTGCGGCATGGTATCTCAGTGGGCTAGCACTATAAAACCAGCTTCAGTCTGGGCTAGTACAAGCAGCCTCACATACACATACACATGCATGCACGTCGTAATATGAGCGAGATATTCTCAAGCATGACGTTAAACCCAATTTCACCACCACCACCATGAGAGTTGTTGGGTTTTTCAGTCTCCATGACTTTGTTGATTCATGTCCTTGTATGCCAGTTGTGTACATCGATGCTCATGATGTCAATCACTGGATTGTCATTCCTTCAGTAATTTACAGATCTCTGCTTATGTAATATTGCAGAGAGTGGCAGTTAACAAATGTTACATGTCTGTTACATAAATAACGGAGATTCTTTGTGTCAGCTCCTTGCACTGAATACCAGTAGGGATCATGTGACTGTAGGGGTGGTCGGGTAGCCTAGTGGCTAAAGCGTTGGCTCGTCACACCGAAGACCCGGGTTCGAATCCCCACATGGGCACAATGTGTGTCCCCGCCGTGATGTTGCTGGAATATTGCTAAACGCGGCGTAAAACCAAACTCAGTCAGTCAGTCAGTCATGTGACTGTACCGTAAAGTGTTATATGAGAGAGACATTTCTATAAACTTGTCATGTTATCATTTCAGGAAACAACAAACCACGTCTACTTGGTCATGGAGGTAAGATCTTTTGACTAAATCATTTTAGCATGTGATACTTAGAATAGAAACAAAATCCAGTGCATGCTTAGTATATGTGGCACAGTATCTGGTGTCATATCATCCCCTTCAGTTCTTGAGGAGTGTAGGGTAGCCTAGTGGTTAAGTTATTCGCTCGTCATGCCGAAGACCCAGGTTCAATTCCCTGCATGGGTACAATGTGTGAAGCCCATTTCTGGTGTCCCCCACTGTGATATAGCTGGAATATATTCTTTAAAGCAGAGTAAAAATAAATTCATTCACTTTCAGTTCTTGACAGGATGTAGAATTAAAATTGAGAATTTTAAATTGTGTTTACATCGCCAATAAAGACTTCAGTAGTAGCACATAATTTGTCCTGAACATATGTCTACATGCATACTAACTTTTCCATTTTTCTGCTGTAGTATGATGATTATGATTATGTTTTTCAGTACTGCAATGGAGGAGATCTGGCAGACTATCTTCAGGGTAGGTAGATAGAGGGATTTTGTGGGGAGGTTTCAATCATCATTAGTTAGGGACAGTCAGTTTCAATTTGTCCTTTAAATGTTTTGAAAACTGATCATTATTATACTATCAATACAGATCTGTTTAGTGCAATATCCAATTTGTGTGCTTTCTAATTGGACAGATCCCTAGGGAGTATGCAATATATATCATGCGTTTATTAAATTATTGTCATGTGGCATAAGTTAACAGTGATTGTATTTTGGGAATTATATATTGATTTTTATCTTTCATATCTGTCTGTTTTCAGCCAAGGGTACACTCAGTGAGGATACAATATCTCTGTTTCTGCGACAGATAGGTGAGACACTTCAGTTGTAAATCTAATACACAGTAAGCTCAGTTGAATAGGATTTGCTTTCAAACAAATTCCAGTACTGAGTTCCATTTAGTCTGGTCTATTGTTAGTAGAATTGGTAATTGATACTGTTGTAAGTACAACTGGTTAATGATACTGTTATAACTACAACTGGCTATTGCTTCTGTTCTAAGTACAACTGATTATTGGTACTGTTTTAAGTACATTTGGTTATTGATACTGTTATAAGTACTGGTTATTGATACTGTTATAAGTACAACTGGTTATTATACTGGTTATTTGTTATAAGTACATTTGGTTATTGCTACTATTATAAGTACAACTGGTTATTGCTACTATTATAAGTACAACTGGTTATTGCTACTATTATAAGTACAGCTGGTTATTGATACTGTTATAAGTACAGCTGGTTATTGCTACTATTATAAGTACAGCTGGTTATTGATACTGTTATAAGTACAACTGGTTATTGATACTGTTGTAAGTACAACTGGTTATTGCTACTATTATAAGTACAACTGGTTATTGATACTGTTGTAAGTACAACTGGTTATTGCTACTATTATAAGTACAGCTGGTTATTGATACTGTTATAAGTCCAGCTGGTTATTGATACTGTTATAAGTACAGCTGGTTATTGCTACTATTATAAGTACAGCTGGTTATTGATACTATTATAAGTACAGCTGGTTATTGATACTGTTATAAGTACAGCTGGTTATTGATACTATTATAAGTACAACTGGTTATTGATACTGTTATAAGTACAACTGGTTATTGATACTGTTATAAGTACAGCTGGTTATTGCTGGTTATTGATATTATAAGTACAACTGGTTATTGTTATAAGTACAGCTGGTTATTGATACTGTTATAAGTACAGCTGGTTATTGATACTATTATAAGTACAACTGGTTATTGATACTGTTATAAGTACAGCTGGTTATTGATACTATTATAAGTACAACTGGTTATTGATACTATTATAAGTACAACTGGTTATTGATACTACTATTATAAGTACAACTGGTTATTGATACTATTATAAGTACAACTGGTTATTGATACTATTATATGTACAGCTGGTTATTGATACTGTTATATGTACAGCTGGTTATTGATACTGTTATAAGTACAGCTGGTTATTGATACTATTATATGTACAACTGGTCATTGATACTATTATTAGTACAACTGGTCATTGATACTATTATAAGTACAACTGGTTATTGGTTGCTACTGTGTTGCAGCTGCTGCGATGAAGGCTCTGAATGCAAAGGGTATCGTTCATCGAGACTTGAAGCCGCAAAACATTCTCCTGTGTTACCCAGGCAGGGCTAGCCAGTCAACAACAAAAGACATTAAGCTCAAAATTGGTAAGGCAAATAAACATTTGAAGAAATATTTTGAAAATTGTTTTGCAAATAATCTGGTTGTGATCATAATTTTATTCAGCTGTAAGAATGTAACATATCATTAGTATAAGTCCTTGATTCTCGTAATGAGGGTATCTGAGAGTAGGCATAGTTAATATTAACATTAAATATAAGAATTACTTCACTTATATTGTACATGGCTGTCTTGTTTCAGCTGACTTTGGGTTTGCTCGCTTCCTGCAAGATGGTGTGATGGCAGCAACATTGTGTGGGTCTCCGATGTACATGGTAAGTAGACCATTTGTTTGTTTTCTTCATGGCAAAATGTGACCCAGTGCACAGGTTTCACAGTTATTTCCCTCTCATGGTTGGTCAAGCCTGTATTCCCCTACTTATATGTTATATGTGTTGTCATAGTTCGTTCAAATTGTTAATTGGGCCTTGAAAAGACCCCCAAAAGGCCATAAATTTGATGGCTTATAATGTGGAAACCCTGGAAAAGATGCTCATGAAACATTGTCTGTGATGTTGCAGGCACCGGAGGTGATCATGTCACTCCAGTATGACGCCAAGGCTGACCTGTGGAGCATTGGCACCATCGTCTTCCAGTGTCTCACAGGCAAAGCTCCCTTCCAGGCACAGACACCACAGCAGCTCAAGCAGTTCTATGAGAAACACAGCGACCTCATGCCCAAGTGAGTATTAGTGATGTTCAGTAGGACCGTCTCAGTTGTCACATGGACGAAATGTCTGCCAGAGAGCAGAAGATTGGTAGCCTAACCTCCAGCTTGTTTGTTCGTTGTTTAACTCTGCAACATTCTGCATACTGTGTATGTGTGTGATCATGTGTTATTGTCTCCTAGTATACCAAGTGGGACATCTCCTGAGCTCAGAGACCTGCTCTTGAAACTGCTGAAAAGAAATTCCAAAGACCGGATAGAGTTTGGTAAGACTTCCTTAAACCCCATCTGTAGTAACTTACTTGGTTGTGATGTGACCTGAAGATTGAAAATTTTCTTGTCAGTGTCTCCATTTTAGAGGTATTTATCGTGATAGTTACTCAATCTGTGCAAATGCGTAGAAATGTTCACGGAGATTTGGGATTTATTTATTGTTTCTAGGAAGTGAAGGGACATATTCTGATTCATGGCTCTCTTATCTCTTCCAGAAAATTTCTTCAGGCATGCATTCCTACAGCGATCTGCCCCGAAGCCAACCAGCAAGTGTAAGTGTCCGTTCTGTGTTAAGAATAGGGCTGTGCAATATTACCGGTAAACCGGTATATACCGGTACAGTATCTCGCGAGACGATTATCACGATATGGTTCAGATTCTGCATTATATTGGGTCATCCAGAGTTGGCTCCCTTTGAATTATCTGCTCTTGATTTCCATAGCAACAAAATGCTCTGAAAGTGCCAAATATACTTTTATGTCTGTTGGTTTTATGTAACATTTTACAAGTGGACGTATCTCTATAAGTGGCTTGCAAAGTGCCAAATATTCTACCAAATACTCTAAGTTTTGTGGGCTTGAATATTCAGGTTTCATATGTGACCTTTTGGAGGAATTAAGTTTCCTCAAATGGACCAATCTTTTATTTGGACTTATTAGTAGAGCCTCTTGATCTGAGTGATTATTCCACAATTCCCATTATTTTATTATTTTTGATTGTTTCATAATGGGACATATGTTATCAATTTATCATAAAGACTTAAGTTTTAAATCTTTTGTGGGACTGTTTAATGACATAAGTTCTAGTCAAAGATCTTAATTATTGGAGGTCACGTGAGATTTTAAGCTCAAGTAGTTCACCTAAATCATGTTTTTGTTTCTTTTTGCAATAACATTCCACGCTAAGTCTCTATATAATTTTAGTTATCTGTAAACCATTTGCATACAGCTATACACGATAGGGCTGGGGAGCCTGAAAGTATGGTGTAACAGCAACTATGTTGCACACAGAGAGCTATTGTGAATTTATGATGTACGCACTTGGACAGAAACCTTCCAGTCAATATATCACAATATGTATTGCAATATCTCTTGAATTATTGCAATATATCGCAATATGAGAATCAGGGCAATATCCAGCCCTAGTTCAGAACATGTGACTTCCTTGTATGTATCTGCAATGGGAGGAATATTGAATATATTAAATAACATGGAGCCCTGTAGTGCTGAAGCGGTTGATCGAATAACACTGCAATGAAAACAACATACTTGTGTGTGTGTGTTTCACTTCCTGTTGAGACATGCGTGAGTATGTTGTTTACATTGCAGTTTAACGAGTCAGGAAAGTGCATCAGTTGTTAAAAAAGTCTTGATATAACAAAAGTAACAGTAAGAAACATACTTTCAAAAATTTAATATGATTTTATATTTTATGAATATTGATTAGAATTCCGAGCCCATCAATAATCGCTGATGCAAGCGAGATCAATCATTTGACTGATTATTCAATCAACCGCTCCAGCACTAGTTGTAGGTGAGTAGTATTGTACATGTTACATATGTCAGTTTGTCTGTTATATGTGTCACTTTGTGTTCCAGCTGCCCCAGTGCCAGTCCCCAACCGGAGTGCTAGCTTCTCCTCAGAGGGGTCAACCCCGGGGAAACATGCCACCTCCGCCACGCCCCCAGCAGCCCAAATGGAATACACACCCCCACATGTGAGTCTGGGAGATCTCACTTTGTTCTAACAAAACTGTAATTTTCACTGGCCTAAGTTATCAAAAATTTTAATGCATTTCAAAACTGAGATGTTTATTACTCTGACTAGAATGTATTTTGTCCCAATACGAGTTTAAACTTCTGTTTGATTGTTTGAGACCAGGGTTGGCATAACTATCCTGGTTCAACTATACAATTGCTGCATCTTCTAATATAACAGAGCATTGTTAAACATGGTGTTACTACCGTCTTTCAAACAGTGATAACATACAGAGTATCCATCCTGAAACATTGTGCTATCCCAAGGGGAAATTGATATATTGCAACAAATTCAGATGACGATGATGAGAACCAAATTCCATTTGTATCGGTTTCCTCATAGGACTGCAGCGTTGTTAATGTGCTCAGTCTATAAGAGGCTCTCACAGGACATTCACAGCTTCCTGGCAAGTACACAAGCTTTAACTCTACAAACACAGAATATTTATCTCCTAACTGACTGGCGACATATGATCATCTTGTTTCAGTCTCATGGTGCTGTGAAACCCGATGTCCTGCCCCAGCCGTCCCCGCCAGATGATGCCGGTTTCCTGAAGGTAGACAAGGAGGAGATGGATGTACGCAAGAGTCCTACAGAGGCAAGTTAAGCCACCACTGTCCATTGCTTATTTGTTAGTTGTCCAACGCTGCACTCAGCAATAATCCAGCTATATAGCGGAGATCTGGACCAGATAATCCAGTGATTGACATCATGAGCATCAATCTAAGCAATTGGGATACAGTGCCATGGCAACCAAGTGCGGGTCTGACTATTCCATTAGTCTCTTCTTAAGACAAGCATGGGTTGCTGAAAATCAGTTCTAACGCAGATCTTGACGTGTGTCAATTGCAGACTACTGTAACAGTGACAATTGGTCAACATTTCTTCCGTTCTGTCCATGTGTTCAGTTATGAGTACAGACATAGAATTCAGGCTAAATGTTCAATTGATAAAATGTTGAGTTTCAAATGGCACACATTTTACATGAATGTAACGTTTGTTTTTCATGTCCACAGGACTTTGTGTTGGTTCCTGAAGGAGATCATATTGGTAAGTTTTGTCAGGATTAATTTGGTATCAGTTGAAAGAAATATGGAATAAGAATCTGAGAAGTGTTTGAAAAAAAACAATCGTGGAAATTTATATTATACTTTTCAAGAGGTCTTTTAAAGATGCATTCATTCTTTGACTAATGACAGATAAGAAAGAAAAGTTAACCCCCTTTCATTGATGTTATTCAACTGTAATTATGTCAGTGATGATACACTTGGTCAAGTTTGACATCTCTGTACATTCCATCTGTTTCACAGATGTTCCTGCGAGCGCTGCCCCTATTGCATCAGAAGAGGATATGGACACTCTAGGGTAAGCTTCACCACTAGTGGGGAGTCTGGGGCTGAACAGGTCTCCAGTGCCCAGTTTATCACAGTGATCAGGTGCTTACAGATGTTTACCTGGCTGGTTGTGTGTCATCATGCATTGCATGGATTTTGCTCATGCTATCAGTCGCTAGTTTGTCTGGTGCAGACTCAGTTATTTATAGGTAGCTGTGATGTAGTTGGTATTTAAACCTTTCCTATTGTGTCACACTATTTTTCTCAAAGTTCATTCATAGCCCGGAATTCATCGCCCATTCTGAATGTGCATTTAAACACATATAACTGATGCAGGAAATATAATAGGGTTGTTGAGTTTTGTTTACTGACAAACTCAGCAATGTTCCAGCTATATGGCGTCAGTCTGTAAGTCTGGATCAGGCAGTCCAGTGGTCAACAGCATGAGCATTGATATAAGTGATATGTGTCAACCAAGTCAGCGAGCCTGACCAGTCGATCATATTTGTCGCCTCTTACGACAAACATGGGTTGCTGAAGACCAATTCTAATTTTGATTTTCACAGGTCGTAGACGTAGGTCATAATACATTTTTTCAAATTATCAATTTAAATAGATAAGCAGCACACTGACTTTTTCATGTTGCAGTGACGCCCCTCCCTCTATGAAAGCTGTAGCAGTCCATGCCCAGGTCGGCACCGCCACCTACAAGAAGGAGACCCAGACCAGTCCTAGTCGACCCAGTACTTTGCCAGTCAACAGCCCACCCTCTCCACCCTCCTCCAACCCCATCCCTGTCCCCACTCAGGCCCGGGCATATCAGAAGATGCAGCAGACGTCACCATCAAGTCCCCTTGCTCGGAGGGTACCATCTTCTACGGAAATGAGAGAGGTAGGGAAAAGATTATCATTGTTTTGTAAGAAATAGTACAGTGTTCCTGGTCTGAAACTGTCTGTGTGGCTATTGAGGTCAAAATCATGAGTTGGTCAGTAAGGTACAGCAACATGTTTCATGTGATATTGCCACAGTTTTTGTGTAGAGTTGCTTCCCTTTGGTTCACTTTATGGATAACAACTTGTTTATTTCGTGAGTGTGAGGTTTCGATACAGATTCGTGGACCGTTGTCAACATGAAGTGGATGGGGAGTATATATACTGAATGTAGCAAAGAAAGTAACATAATAAACATAACTGGCTAGGCAGTAAGCTGATAAAGCCAGTGAGTGAACAAAGGGAAAACAGGTTTAAGCCAGAGATGTACAAAGATATACAAGAATGGTGATATCAGACCAGTTTATTTGGTGATTTGGGTTAATTTTATTAAAGAAGTTGTTATCCATAAAGTTTGTCTATATTGTATTTCCCAATGTCTTAAAATGCCAGAGTGGTAGACTTCTAAGACTCGAATCATTTGGCTTACCTCCCGCAACATGCATACTCCCACACTATAACATATACAGTGGAAGCTATCTAAACCGGCACTCGTCGGGACTAAAGGCATAATCCGGTTTAGACAGCGTGCCAGATTGTACAGATGAGACGGTTACCTCCAACTAGAAGTGAACAAGTTTTGTCACTTTCATATACATTGTTCTATCACAATAAAACATGTCAACTCGCTCAGATTAAAATGTCTTTGTCGACAACCATGTAGTGTCAACGCAAGATTAATTGGTGACAATACACATCCAGCCGATTCCTCGCTACACGCTGGATTAGACAGTGTTGATTACAGTATAAACCCATATTAGGGCGGCTCATTTAATGCTGAGATCCGGGAATTGACAGCTGCCGGATTGCAGAGCTTTTAAATGATGATAATTGCACTAGCCACGGACGGGACTGAGATCTTATGCCGGTGTTGACAACTTGCCGGATTGGAAAACTGCCGGTTTTGACAGCTTCCACTGTACTGTATTCGCTGTATTCACCATCTTACTCCATGAAGGCCCCCAACTAATTTCTAGTCCATTCAGTACGTAATGTAGGTAACAATTACTTGATGGTCCATATTTCATTTATCATTCAAAATTGTGTTCCACAGGAGATATTGTGTGTCTGAGATCATATGATATCTCCTATGAGATAAGGCTTTTACAGTAGATTTTATACAATGCCCTGACAATGCTATGATGTCATGAACTTGATGACATCACAATGCTATGACATTGCTGCACTGCAAGTCTTATGGCAGTACTGTATTCAGAGATGTACATTTTTCATTGAAGACTAATGAAGAGTTATATTTGATGATAAATAGAATCTCACCCTCGTGTCTGTTGATATCAATTATATCAACACTCATTGATGTAATTGATATCAGTAGACACTTGGATGAGATTCTCTATGTATATACAACAAATAAAAACGCAGATGGGTTTATATTTGCCAAGTTTTAGTTTCATTGATGCAGGTTGTTCGCTACCCTTGATTTCTGAAAACAAATTCAACTTGTGATTGGATTTAGTAAGTATCACATTTGGCAATTTTGGGCACTTTTCTAAACCAAGCATATGACAAGAGCAGACATTGGCAGTGTTCGAAATATTCAGACAGTGTTCAGAATGTTGAGTGTTTGTTAGGATTCTGGTACTGAATGTATACATCCCCTGCTGAAACTAAAACACGAATGGCGAATATGGATGTTATTGAGGAACCATGAGGGACAAGCACAGCTAATGAATCATGTAACACAGGAAGGTTTATTGATTCCTTCCACCGAGGGGATTGAAAGTCTAAATAGCCCCCAGCCCATGGTCTGCCAAGCAATTAAGAATTAGGATCAGGTGCCAATGACTGCTGAGAGTGGGTCTTACATGAACGCCTTATGACTTGGCCTTGTTTAATCATTATTTATTGATATTTTTCTTCATTTTGACAGAGTGATCTCTGACTTTAGCCACTTGTTGGTACCCTGAGTCGAGTAATATTCTGTTTGGTATAGCAAGGTCTGTTGATAATAGTTCATATAATAACACTATTCCCTTCTTTGAGTGGTATTTAGAAGTTGGTGTGATCAACAAGTGGGACAGCTTTATTGATACACAAAGTATTGGTTACACATGCTAATATTATAAGGAAGTTGTATATCCATAGAACTATTCTGTTTGTTCAGCAATAAACTATACTGATACTTAGGGACATGTTTGGGTTTTGGTCTCGAACGTTTTTGGCATAGACTGCAATTGTGAGTGTTAAGTGGAAGACTGTGACCTAATAGATCCATTGACGATTTGAAATCATGCGTCATAAACACTTCTGAATGAGAGCTCTACTTTCACAATCTCTTATCCAAGAAAGTCCATCATTTGTATAAACAATAAATTAGTTGAAAGTGTGGTTTTGTTGAGAATAACGTTTTCCTAAGTTCTAGGACACTGGGTAGGAAGTGATTATACTACTAGACAATTCTGGTAGTATGTGTGATGTCACTCAAAAACACTGATGATATGGATACTTTGTTAATTCAAGAGACTATAGTGTAATTTGACTGGATGACTGTTTTTAAGGCTGTTTGGATCAAGAAAGATAAGGTTGCAGTTTACTGTTGAAAATGTATGTAAAATGTATGAAAGCAGCTTTGAAGCTAAAACCTTCAGTCAGTAGTACAGCCATCCCTCACTACAACACTGGTCCATGGAGGCCCCTGTGTTAGTGAGTGTGTGTGTGTTTTACTCCGCCTTTAGCAATAATCGAGCAATATCACGGTGGGGGACTCCAGAAATGGGCTTCACACATCTGGGGAATCGAACCCGGGTCTTCGGGAAGATGATGAGCCAACACCTTAACCATTAGGCCATCCCACCGCCCCTTCCTGTGTTATGAGACACCTGCATTATACATAATATTGAATCGTATTATCCTTGTGCATAGCATAATTGCTATTTCATATATAATGCCCAGGCAATACTATGCTATATTGTTGAATGTCCGGGTTAGAATGAACCTTCAGTAACCCATATATGTCATAAGAGGCGACTAACAGGGTCTGGTGGTCAGGCTCGCTGGCTTGGTTGACATGTCATCGGTTCCCAATTGGGCAGATCGATGCCCATGCTGTTAATCACTGGATTGTCTGGTCCATACTCGATTATTTACAGACCGCCGCCATATAGCTGGAATATTGCTGAGTGCGGTGTAAAACTCACTCACTAACATACAAACTTTCTGGTAATGTTTGGTGTCCTGTCACATTTCAGGAGTGCTCGGAAAAGGAAGTAGCCTTGTCTCGGCAGAGTTCTGAAACTAAGCTGTGTACCGGACCCGGCATCGTCTCCCTGTCTCCCCCGAGTGGTAGGTGCTCACTTTCACACCAATATCCACAAACAATATTGCCTCTTCCTATTTTGCCTTGTCACATTTAAGCCTTTTGTTTTTTATTTCATGGATGATGTAGAGATACTATAGTCCTTCTATACTTTTGGCAGCCAGTTTTCATCAATTTATTAGCCAGATTGTTTGTTGTGCGTGCATGTAGCATGTTTCATACACATCCTGTCAGTGTTGACAGACATTCAGTCATCTGCTGTTGCTCGCCATGATGGGAAGCAATCCTACATGAAATAGCATAATAATGAAGGAAACATCATCAATTTGGGATGACAAAGTCAGAGTGTCTAGTTAGATCAAAGGATACAAATTGCATATGTCTAATTTCATCATATACAAACATACCCAGGATCAAGTCGGTACGAACTGGGTGCCAAAAGTAAGGTTGACAGACTGCAGTATTTCTTTGTGTCATTCCTCACACATCACCTTCACTACTCCCTTCACTAATGTTAGAATTCAAGTTCATTAAATACATTGGTGAAACTTTATCACATACATATTGTATTTGTGCAGTCCAATTTGCACCTTTTTGAAACCAGAGGCCTAAATGTTTGTGCTAGGAATAATAACTATTTTTGCATAAATAATCTTAGTCTAGTTTAAATCATTTCACTAATATCACTAATTGAACATTTCCTGAAATCCTCCTAAAGAATTCAAATAATACCTTATCAATGTGTCTCAATTAAATACAAATGTCGCCGATTGAGCATTTACTCAAATCCTCCCAAAAAATTCAAATAATACCATATCAATGTACATGTATTTCACTTTAATACAAATTTCACTCTCACCAATTGAGCATTTTGATGAAACAATCTACGGCTAATGTGGACTAAGTGTCATCAAAACACTAATCCCAGTCAGCCAAATCCCACTCTGGCTATTTGAGAGACCTGTTTTGACAGAATGTGGCTAAGTGAGAGGACACCCACAGAACATTCTTCAGTAATTAAATGCCTCAGATCCCATTCTCTGGGTTGTTTTCTCGACCTGAACCAGCTTGTTAATGTTATGTACTATTAGGATACATGGACTAATGCTTTTCTCACAACAGCAGTAATCATGGTATTATCCACAGTGGATGTTATCTTGATATGGTTGGTTATCATAAACAATTAGTTACGTCAGCAGTTAATGATGTTCAACCATGCATGAATGAAATCACATTTATTTTGTCACCATACAAGCATTATAAGGAGTTCAAGTGTGCATTGTGGGACTGCTATAGACCTACAATAAACAGAAATGTGATACGATATCTGAATAGTCAAATTTTATTCAAATCACTTGATGTATGTTACAATCAATGCTTTTAGTCAGATGGGTGTAGTTTGAAAGGCTGTAAATTGACCATGAATATGTGAAGCTTTGTATGGATAGCATCTTATGTATTGCTAATTACGTTTCAATTGAACTGGGACAGTGGGGTAGCCTAGTGGTTAAAGCATTTGCTATTCACATCGAAGACCCGGGTTTGATTCCCCACATGGGTGCAATGTGTGAAGCCCATTTCTGGGGTCACCGCTGTGATATTGCTGGAATCTTTGTAAAAGCAGCATAAAACCATGCTCATGAACTCAGGGCAACATCTTGCCTGATGAAGGAGTAAGTGTATATTTCGAAACGTGTTCTCATAATAATATAAAATTGACATACATAAAACACTCTTCCTTCCGTGCATTACTTCTAAATGCCATTCAAAGAGTCAAACTTCTTGTCATTCCATCAGCTGTAAATGATTATCTGAAGGGACAAGAAGCAGCTCTGGGATGTCATTACAAATAAAGCCAAAGTTGTTATTTCACTTAGAGTTGCTGTCTTCAGTGCTCTTCCAACTTAAGACCTGTGAAGATCCGGGATAGAATAGGTCTTCAGCAACCCATGCTTACCACAAAAGGCGACTATGCTTGTCGTAAGAGGTGACTAACGGGATCGGGTGGTCAGGCTCGCTGACTTGGTTAACACATGTCATCGGTTCCCAATTGCGCAGATCGGTGCTCATGCTGTTGATCACTGGACTGTCTGGTCCAGACTTGATTATTTACAGACTGCTGCCATATAGCTGGAATATTGCTGAGTGCGGGCGTAAAACTCACTCACTCACTCTTCCTACTTAATGATGCTGTGATATAACTGGAATACTGTTCAAACAGCTGACTGTCTCGCTCCAACATCATGATGATGATGATTAGGGGGTTTCACATGCACTTTCCGACCTGATCCATATTTCAACCTAGGCTGACCAGGCCATTTAGTTTTTCATCAAAATAGGGGTGATTATGACCGAAAGATGATGTAAGTTACCATGTTACCATTCAAATTCTTAAATGTGAAGGTGTTGATTGAGGCATGACAAACTAACAACACCTGTTCGCTAGCTCATGTTTTCCTAGGCTTCAGGCAGTGTAGCTGAGCTTCTATAGGTGTATGAATAGGCATGAGTGAAAACCTGAGGTCATAGTCCACAACTGTATTATTTATTACTGGTAGTTACTTAATGACTTGATACACACTCATTGTCTGCAGCTGTTAAGTATTGAAACCAGTACATATCAATAGGTGAAGATTGTCCTGAAATGGGGCTACTGTTTCTTTGTCAGTTAATCCCCACTTCTTTTCCTATTGTTTGATAATCAGTAAACACACATCCACAGTGACAACACTAACACCAGCGAAGCAATCTTGCATCACTGGCTTCCACTGGCTTCCCATAATACATTGATCACTGAATAAGTTGTGATACGAGATACCACCTAGAATCCATTTCTTCCAGAATCCATCTCTTCACAAAGTCTTGTAATCCGAGTGTCTGTCCAAATGGACTTCTTATTGTTTATTTATCACTGTTTTCACGACTGTTTTCGCTATGAGCCCCACCTTAGCATATATAGGTCATATATTTTCAGTGTGCGAAAGTTACACTGTACATGTGGTCCCTGGCTAGTAAAAATTTATCAGGACCACAGAAATTTTGAAAGGTTTTTTTCCTTGTATTCTGCAGTCGCCTATTGTGTAATAATTCAGAGTTACTGTCGCTTTGCTTCATCACCAGCCCCAACTGAGTATATGTTCTCAGTATTTTTGACAGCCATTGAGCTTGCTGACCCTTGTCTCATCCTCTACTTATGCTTGTGCTTACCCCCTTTCAGTCCAGTTCAGCATCGGCACTCCCCCCACTACGGGGTCGTGGAAGAGGAACAGCACCCCCCCTAGTAAGACCGGCAACACCCCGCCTAGTGTTACTGGCTCACCCCACAGAAAAGCTAGTGAGAACACCACTTTTACTAACATGAATTATTTATTCTATTACATGGTTTTTGTTTCTGTCAAACAAATTTTACCAGTGAACAATCTGTAGACTTAAACCTTGGAAACATGTCCAAATAGATCAATGTTAGAAACTTGTTATTTTTTTCAAGGAATCAGCAGCATTCTCCTTGTATTGCAGTTGCCTGAATTTAGACTATGGAACCTTTTAATTTTTGTTCACAAAATTTGTTTTGTTTCACTGTATGCTTTTATATAAAACCAAGTAATAGAATACTTTGTGTTCAAATTAACAATTAGCACAGTTTTCTAACTTTTTGCTGTTATGTAGTGTTCAAAACTAAGCATGAAAGTCAGGGGTCCTAGCACGGCCCTACTGTTAAAGGTTAATGGTTATAGATTTACTGGATGCCTGGATTAACACAGCAGATGACCACAAGGAAACCAGGACCTCCTTATTTTTGAACTCTCTTTTGACTTCTAAAATCTCTGTATTTTGTAGGTTGTGAAAAGCTTATTTGAGTGCCAATTTTTTTACTCATTGATTTTAGCTTGATATTATACTAACTTTACTGTTTTAATTGGCTGTTTTTCCTATGCATGAATTGTACATTTATATTGTATTGTATATCCTTTTTAGATGAAATTTCACAGAACTTTATTAAAGTGGCTTCTAAAACAATGCCTGAAAAATATATTGTGGATGATATTGGGTGATTAAATATGGAAAGTTTATCCAAAGCTATCCAGAACAATTTATATGCTTGTGTCTTCCACGAAGCCATGCTTAATTTCCATAGGCCTTTCCTCACCCCGGTTTTCACCCCTCCCATTCTGGGGAGGTCCTGGATCTCTACCCACAATCCTCGGCTCTCCGACTAAACTTGCTGCATTTAACCTGGTGCCCAGTCCTGAGATGATGCCGCTTGAACCAGTTCATGCACCGTTTGGAAAGTTCAGACCAAATACTTACCCAGAAAGCATTGCTGCTCTTGCAGGTAATTGGATGATGTGGCAATTTACCTTGCTCACAGTGCAATTAAGAAGGCTTTTGACTATTGTGGAGGTGTGTTATGATGATTAGATTTTCATGGAGAAAGAAACGTACAGTTGTTCTGCTTTTGTCAATATTGGTGTATAGTTTGATCCCCATGACTTAATTGTAAACTTTTTCAGATTGCAATCATTTTCCAGTTATTCTTTATCAAAACCTCTCTTGACTTCATTTGTGTGAAAGATGACAAGCTATAGACATTGTTTGCACCTTGAACTCAGTGATGCTGTTCACACCTGGGACAAGCTGATGACGTGAATGTCTAGTGCGATATCCTGGATGTAATAACTTCACACATGCTAATGACACTACTGAATGGTGAATGGCTTGGCACCTCATGTGGCAGTTCAGTGCATGCTTAGAGTTTGTCCCCAGCAACCTGTACTGGTCACGATAGGTGACTTATGAGGTCAGACTTGTTGATGGCATGTCATCGTGGCCTGACAGCATGGATTGTTGATCACAATATTAGGCATTTAATTTGACTGATCCACTTGATTATGCACATACCACCAAAAACCTGAATATTGCTGAATGTGGTGTTAAAAACAAACAGTTGTTAAAAAACAAAAGAATGCCTTGATGTCCATTATGCAATAGCATTCAAGAGCGTTGTCAGGTCAGTCGCACAAATCTGAGCCTTTATGCTTTACAAGATTACTGAAAGGATTACTAATATGTTTTTCATGGTGTTAATACTATTTATTTTCAGAGTTGCTAAATGTATAACTGCTTGTTGATATAACATGTATATATCCTTGTGTTGCAGCTTCTCCACCAGAAGCCCATAGGTTGGAGTACCACCGGTCAGATTCAGACCCCTCCTCCCTGAGTCGAGGGGGAACCAGCCTGCTCTCACAGCAGCTGCTCAAGGCTGCATTTGGCACACAGACAGGTGAGGATTTGTTACACACTCGAACTGTATATGCAGTGAATCCACAGGGGCGGATACAGCTTTTTGAGAAAGGGGGGGTGCACTCTATTGAGAAAAGGAGGGGTGCACATTTCATTTTCACCCGAGTTCCAATGGTCATTTAACAAACTTTCAGCACCAAGGGGTGGGTGTGTGTGTGTGTGGTGTGTGTGTGTGTGTGTGTGTGCGTGTGCGCACCCCTGCACCCCTCCTCTGGATCCGCCTATGATCCATGTGCAGTGTTTCCAGATCCACTGGTATAGTTGTATGTCAACTGGAGATGTAGGTGTTGGAATATGTAACTGTATGTCTGTCATAGATCACAGTTTGTCCTAGCAGGGTTTATAGGGCAAAATAGGTTTAATGACTTGCAATGCATAATCTTCTTGGATTTATGTAGAACTGCTCAGAGGCATCAAGACTGTAGTATGTTAATGCAAAATTCTGTATGTGAATTACAAAGTTCTTATTTTTGCAGAGTTTACAAAAATATAAACAGTGTATTTTCCACAGTGTGCCTGCCAAAGATGATTAGTTTAGAATACATCTCTGAATACATCTCTGGATCTGTGTGTGAATTTCAATTTGTTACTAATTCAATTCAGGGATTCAGGACAGATGCTAGTGAGTGAGTGAGTGAGTTTTTTAGTCTTACGGCACTTTTAGCATTCTTTTTCAGAAGAAGTCCTCCTTGGGGTACATATAAGCATTAAAATGTCCATTTTAAAAGCCTACGACAGTTGTAACAATATTTCAATAAAATATTTTACCAAACAAAAAACTCGTTATGTGTGGTGAGACCACCCCTACAGGGCCCCGTAGAGGGCCCCCTACAGCCAAGAGCAGGTAACTCTGGCTGTGTACCTCGTACCTCACTTTTCATGCTGTCGTCGGCCGTGTAGGTCGTTTGCATGGTCCAAGATACGATAAGGATGAGTGAGATAGAGTCAAATCCTGTATGTATGGTTCCTTTTTTTCGCTCGGGCGCTAGCTGGAATCTTTGTATGACTTTTTTCATTCATGATTTGTTGTAACTTTACCGGCGTGTTCGCTGTCTCCAGCCACGTGGCAGGCAAGATGGCGGACCGCGGGTTCCGTTTGCTTTCCTTCTCCTGGCTTTAGAAAAAGCCTTGTAGTCGGGTTGTGAAAGGGCTGATATTTCATTTTGTAGATTATACTTGCCTAAATTCCTCTTTTTTCAGGCTTTAGGTAAGTTTTGCTTGAGTGTTTTCGTGACGCGTTTACGTGTCGCTCACACATGTTGCTCTTTGTCACCTATGTACGCAATTACGCTTCGCTATTTTGGCTTTACGCTAGTAATTAATAGCTTTGCTGTAGCAGTTAAAATATCGCCCGGGCGTTGTATTTTGTTCTGTTTTGTTGTGTGCATATTATATTATGTATATCGTACAGTCCTTGCTATTATCATAGCGTGGTTCTGTTTTTTGCAGCCCAAGGGGTGTGTCACCTGTAGCGGCAGTTTGTCGCCTCAGGATCGCCACCTGGTTTGCTTACGTTGTTTAGCGGAGGAAGCCCATGACGAACAAGGTTGTTCTATGTGTCAGGCTTTCTCCCCCCGCACCATCAAGTCCAGACGTGCTGATTACATGTTCTACACGTCCTTACTTCAGGCGGGGGGGGACATTTGGGGTCAGGAGCCGCCTAAAGACAAAGATAAAAAAACAAAGAAAAAGAAGGCTTCGGCTTCCTCTCTTTCGGGGGATGCTCCTAAACGGGCGAAGGGTACAGGGCCTCAGGCTCCTTCACCTGCCATCCCCTCAACATCACAGGCACCTTCTCCCCCCCTCCTGTCCCTGTTTCTAACCAGCTAACAATTGATTTACTTTCTGATATATTGCAGAAGCAGATGGATTCGGTCCACACTCTCGTGGCTGACGCGATGGCTGGCCTCCGACAGGAGATTGGTGTCCGACCAGGTACGGGTGTGTGTGTCGGGTCTATGGCGGGCAGTGCTCCCAACCTCAGCTTAGGCTCTGGTGTGGGGGTTTCTGTCGGGGGTGCGTCGGCTCCGAGTTTCGTCTCGGTTGCTGGCCACCCCTCCGCTGTAGTAACTACTACCGGCCCGAGCCTTGGCTCGGGGTCTGGTCCAGTAGTTAGTAGTTTGGCAGTCCCTGTAGTTGCCGCTACTTCGCAATTGGTCCCACCGCTTGCGCCGGCTTGGCCGGGCCATTCGGTGTCTGGATCATTTTGTCTACCATTGAGGAATCCCAGCACGGGCTCTTCCTCATCACGGCACCGCGACTCAGTCTCGAGTCTTGGGTCGGGTGTGCCGGGCAACCCGGCTCTGCTCGAGCCTTTGTCCCTCTCTGTAGACCCCTCGGATGATCCCTCAGAGCTCTCTCTGGAAACAGAGACCTCACTCATTGAGGATCGATTCGAGGAGGCTATGGAGGAGGATGAGGGTCGGGAGGAGTTGGGTACGCCTTTGGTTTCGCTCGGTGCGTCCCTGAGGCAGATGCGGGGCGTATTGCTTCTGTCCTGCCCCAGGTAGTGGTCAGTACTGGCGCACCCGACCCTCAGGAGTTTAAGCCTCCCAGGAGGCTTTTGCTCCCACCAAGGTGGGGGACACAAGGCTGCGTATATTACCCTCAGTCTTGTCTGAAGTAATCAACCCCCTCCTCTGTGGTACCAGGTCCAGGTTCGATTTGCCAGAACTTGACCGTCGGTACCTCATGGGGGAGGCTTGCCTCTACAATCCCCCAGTGGTTGACGATTGTGTTTACGCATCCGTCGCCCTGGGGGGTTCGTCGGGTAATTCTATGGCTTCAGCCAAGCAAGGTCGCCGGCTTCGCCGTTCGTTCGACTAACGCTACTGGCGCTTAAATCCGCCCTATCGATCCTTTGAAGAGCAATACCGCAATGCGGTTCAATGCCTCAAAGTGACGATCCATTCCGCCTACATCTCGGTGTTGCAGAGGCAACTACTGGATGTGGGTGGGGTGGAGGAAGATTCGTCTCCCTCCACCTTGGCTAAGCAATTAACGGAGGTACAGTCACATCTGGCGATTCTATCAGGTGCGTCGGCTTGCCAAATGATGTCGGCGGTGATGGGCCTCCGTCGCCTGTGGCTTTCGTGGCGAGGTATTCGCCTGCCGCATAACAGGCTCTGCTGGCGCTGCCATTCCGGATGGGTTCTACCCTGTTCCCCGGGGCAGCTACAGTAGTCCGGGAGGCCGCGGAGGCTGTCTCAACCTTCAAGGACTCTAAGCCCTTGCTGGAACAGCCTCACACGTCTCGCTCGCGGCCCCCGGTTGTCTCCTCCGCATATCCTTCTGCCGCGGCGAAGGAATCTGTTAAATGGGCTCAGCCCTTGCAGTCGCGGAGGGGTAAGGGCAGAGGCAGGGGCAAGGGCAAGGCCACGGCGCCCCACCAGCCTTTTCAGAGGAAGGGGAAGTCAGCCCCGGCTTCCCAGCTATAATTCCTCCGGAGCCCTTGTTGGTACCAGACCAAGCAGTCAGAGTACTGCCAAAGTCCGGTATTCAATGTCTCCTGCCACATATCCCTGTGGGTGGTCGACTTTCCCTCTTCCTGTCGGAATGGGAAAAAGTCACGTCCAATCCCTGGGTCCTGTCCACACTCAGGGAAGGCCACTTGCCACAGTGGAAGCGAGACCCACCCCCCTTCTCCGGGATCCGTTGCACTCCAGTGCCGGCTGCCCTAGAGAAGGCGGAAGTGCTCCGTGCCGAGGTCCAGTCGTTGCTGGACAAGGCAGCCATAGAGATGGTTCCTGTGGGACAAGAAATGTTGGGTTTTTACTCAACTTATTTCCTTGTCACCAAAAAGGACGGAGGGTTCAGACCTATTCTAAACCTCAAAGGTCTGAACGACATGTTAGAGGTACCGTCATTCAAGATGGAAACACTGCGTTCGGTGATTTCGTCTGTGGAGAAGGGAGATTGGCTCACGTCAATCGACCTCAAAACAGCGATACTTCCATGTCCCTATGCACCCGAGTTCGGAAATACCTAAGGTTTTCCTTCGACGGAGGTGCTATCAGTTTCTCGGTACTCCCTTCGGCATTTCCACAGCGCCAAGGGTGTTCACCAAACTCATGCTAATTCCAGCTCAGGTAGCCAGGTCACAGGGCAGGTGCTGTCACCCCGTACCTAGGCGATTGGCTCCTTCGATGCGCTTGCCACTCACTTGAGTCGAGTTGCGACACTTGCTGTGATGAGTATTCTCACCAAGTTGGGCTGGATTATCAACCTCAAGAAATCAGAACTGGTTTCCACCCAGGATCTGGTGTTCTTGGGAGCGAGGTTCGAGACAGCGCGAGGGATAGTCTCCCTGTCTCCGGACCGCGTCACCAAAGTCCAGAGAGTTGTGTTACAATTTCTCGAGTTCCCCAGGGCCTCAGCTCGGACTTGGCTCCAGTTGTTAGGCAACATGGCGGCAGCGGTGGACATCGTTTGCGCAGCGGTTGAGGATGCGACCCATTCAGCAGGCTCTAGCTCGAATGTGGGTCCACACCCAGGAGTTTACGAGTTGATTCTCCACACTCCAGGGTGGCTAATTCCTCATTTACGGTGGTGGACACTGGCAGGGAATTTATCCAAGGGGCTCCCTTTGGACATCCCATCGCCAGATCTCTCAATTCAGACGGACGCTTCCCTCACAGGGTGGGGGGGCGTGCTGGGCGCCCTGTCGGTCTCAGGCCTGTGGTCACAGAGCGGTAGGCAACTGCACATCAATGTGCTAGAATTGAGAGCAGTCAGGTTGGTGTTCAAACGACTTCGGGAGCAGGTTCAAGGCCGTGTGGTCCGTCTCGAGATGGACAACCAGACGGCAATGACCTACATCCTGAAGCAGGGCGGTACGGTTTCCCCGTCTCTTCTGCAGGAGGCATGGCAGTTTCTGCTCTGGTGCGACCAGTTCGACATACGGGTAATGCCTGTTTATCTCCCAGAGGCGGACAACGTCGAGCAGATGCACTCTCTCGTCGTATCCTGGCCCCCACGCAGTGGATGCTCCATCGGGGATATTCGGGGCTATCTCCCAGTTGTTGGTCGTTCCAGGTGGATCTGTTTGCATCTGGGGGACGAACCAGATTCGGTGTTTTGCTCGGATACCGGATCCGAGAGCCATCGCCAAGGCGCTTTCCAGCTCGATTGGACGGACAGGGTTCTGTGGGCGTTCCCGCCACTACCCTGATTCCCAAAGTCCTCTTGCAGCTTGCCACCCAACCAGCTCGACTTCTTGTGCTCCTTGCACCTCTTTGGTCGGCTCAAAGCTGGTTTCCGGTACTACTCAGGTTTCTGGCTCAGCCTCCTGTACTATTACCCTTCGACCGGACTTACTATCCCAGAACGGGCGCCGCACCGAATCCCAGGATTCAGTGGGTGGCCTGGCCTCTGTCCGGAATCGCCTCTACGCGAGCGGAATTCCTGCACCAGTTGCAGACACAATTCTGGCTCCGCGGAGGGATTCGACAAACGTTCAGTATGAGGATAGATGGGCCTGTTATGCGCGCTGGTGTGTCGGCAGAGGGATTCTTGATCCCTTTTCTTCAACTGTAATTGAAGTACTGGAGTTCTTGCAGTCTCGGTTAGAAGCCGGTTTAGCCGCGTCTACTATCCGGGGCTACTCCACGGCAATCTCTGCCTTCCATATCCCTGCCGACGGTGCTCTCTTGGGGCAGCACCCTCTCGTACAGCGCTTTTTAGCAGGCGTGGACAGAATCCGTCCGACTGTCCGGCGGATTAGTCCCCCCGTGGGACTTGTCAATCGTTCTTGATTGGATGTCCGGTCCTCTCTTTCACGATCTGTCGTCTCTTTCACTCCAGCTGTTAAGTTGGAAGGCTGCCTTTCTTGTGGCGGTAACGTCTGGCAGGCGGGTAGGTGATATCCATGCGATGTCAGCGGATCCTGCTCTGACTGTCTTTCACAAAGACAGAGTCAGTATTCGGTTGCCAGACTCCTACCGTCCTAAGGTCGCAGGCGCCTTTCATATAACGGCGCCTATCGAACTGCCAGCTTTCACTCAGCCTCCATCGTCCGGTACCTCTCTTCGGCGTGCTCACGTCTTAGATGTCCGTAAGACTCTCAAGGCTTATATCAAACGAACGGCTGCTATCAGGAAAGATAAGCAGCTGTTCTGTTGTTATGGCGGTGGCAAGGCTGGTCTTCCGGCGAACAAGCAGACCATATCTAGGTGGCTTGTCTCTGCCATTTGTTCGAGTTACTCTTACAAAGGATTAACCATCCCTCAGGGTTTAAAGGCTCATTCTATTAGGGCAGTGGCGACATCAAAAGCATACGCCGCGGCACTGCCCATTGAAGAGATCTGCTCAGCGGCTATCTGGAGCCGACCGAGTACGTTCATCCGCCACTATCAGCTGGACAAACACTCACGGGAGCGTGCTCGGTTTGGCCAGACAGTTCTCACCAGTGGGCAGTGTCGTGATTCTCTAGCCGAATGAGCCTTAGAAATCACGTTTGCTTTTCTCATGGTGTAGGTGTTAATAAATTCCTCAATTTTTATCGGTGGTGGTATCACATTGGTGGTGGTTTTTACTGTATGTAGCGATTATCACTCGCTACAGTCACTGTGTTCATCCCTGCACCACGCTTCGCTGGTTTGGGTTGCTGAGGGATATATATTGGACTCGCCCATACTTTCCCTCCCATTTTGATGGTTGGGGGGTGGGACTTGCGTCCGCCTTTATAAATTCCACCAATAGCCTATCGGCTAGGCTCCTTTTTCCCCGCCTTGCCACGCCCCCGCCTGATTGACATCAGCGGTCAGGTGACTAGGTGAGTGTACTTTCTCTCTCTGTCGCGGCTTCGGCTGTGCCTTCGACTGAACTAGGGGGTATGTTAGGCAGACAGAATACCACTCCCGACTCAACATCGTTGGGAGTCTGTCTTATGCTTATATGTACCCCAAGGAGGACTTCTTCTGAAAAAGAATTTTACAAACCTGGAGAGGTTATGAATTCTTTGAAGAAAAGTCCTCCTTGGGGTACGGCCGCCCACCTCCCCTCATTCTGTCTGACACGTTCAGCATGAAAAGTGAGGTACGAGGTACACAGCCAGAGTTACCTGCTCTTGGCTGTAGGGGGCCCTCTACGGGGCCCTGTAGGGGTGGTCTCACCACACATAACGAGTTTTTTGTTTGGTAAAATATTTTATTGAAATATTGTTACAACTGTCGTAGGCTTTTAAAATGGACATTTTAATGCTTATATGTACCCCAAGGAGGACTTTTCTTCAAAGAATTCATAACCTCTCCAGGTTTGTAAAAATTTTCCAGCAACATCACGGTGGGGGACACCAGAAATGGGCTTCACACATTGTACCCATGGCATCTTCGGCGTGATGAGCGAACGCTTTAACCACTAGGCTACCCCACCGCCCCACAAATGCTAATACCTTGGTTTAGTGTTGTACTAGGTGGAGTCGGTTTTGTTATAGACACTATGTGTGTCTTAACCTGGGCTTACAGATAGCGTACCTACAGCTGCATTGAATTGTGTTCCAGGAGCTGGTCAGATGATCACCTACAGTGGGAGGACAGGGAGTCGTGAGCGCCTCAACTCCGGAGGCAGTGACAAGACAGGATCCATGGAGAGGGAGCGTTCCTCCTCTTACTTCAGGAGAAACAGCACCTTCAACATGGAGACATCGCCACCAGCATCAGGCATGTACGCCAAGTCGCCGCCCTATATGGAAGGGCCAATCACATTTGTTGCTCCAGAACTGTCTGAGGAAACTTTGATGGATGTAAGTAAATATGTTTTTGACTGCATCGTATATATTTTGTCATTTCATTGAAAATTCACAATAGTTACATGAATCTGTGAGATCTGATAGCATTGCTGTCCTTTGTTTGATTTGATGTTCTTGTCACACGATGTGGCTGAAATATGGGTCATTTGAATATATTTTTGAACTCATGCTCACTGAAAATAAAATTGGTGAACTAAGGGAAATAACTTTTGTTAAGGGGAGATAACTGCAGACAGTTAGTATTGGGGAAAATTACTTATTTATGTATTGAATATTTGTTTACTGTTTTTCACCTGTTATTTTGCCAGTCTGGTCCTTAGCATAATTTTCAGAATGATTTTTACTTTCATAATGTTTTTTTATTAGCTGAGCTTACAAGACCAAATAGCTTTGATCAGTTGAATAACAATGCTGTATTTTTGCAGGAGCAGCACAATGAGATCATGGCCAAGTTGAGCTTTGTCCTGGACCTAGTGGAGTGTATCATGGAGCTAGCCCAGGCCAGAGGTGCTGCTCTCAGCACATTCAATGACTCAGTCTCATGTAAACAGGTAGGTCCTTTCAACCTGGGTATCCCTTCTCGTCATCCCTGCTAGACTGTGAGACATGATCATGGGAATGTTGTGCAATCAACTTGACTGTACGAATCAGGTTCAGGCTTCAGTGAAGTTTGCATGAAACAAGACTGGTTTGTTTACATGGACATATGATACAGCAGATTGCGGCATTAAACAACACGATGTAACTCACAGCCTGATTTTCCACACCACCAGAACATGGCTTGATTTTCTTAAATAAATGTTATAGTTGTGAAATGTTACAATAATGGCCAGAATGATTTGTTGTATTTAAATTTACAATGGTGGTTCTATTTTGTTTAAAGGGTGAGAGTTTGCCAGCGGAACAGCTGCCTAGATTTACAGAAGCTCAGAGGTAAGAATGACTCATGTCTTTTAATCTACAGTAGCTTTGGACGTATTTAGTCCAATCGTAGATCTACTATATCAAAATTTGGCTTTTGAAGCTCACAGCTAAACCTAAGTTAAATCTTATGTAATACAGCTTGACCTCAAATCGTCAGTTTCAAACTTGTGTTGGTAAATGGAAACACAGCACTGACCTCAAGAAATTAATTATGCAATAAGGTGATAGTGATTCAAGAGATGAATGTGTTTTCTGTCAGAATAGAAATAGAAAATGCCGACTAAATAAGCACAAAGTCCTCAAAATTAACCCTGAGAGTCATGGTCTAATTGGCTTTGTTTCATTTGCGAAAAAACCCAATGGGATCCTTGGTAGCAAAGTATAAGAAAACACTCAACATTCAATATAACATATAGGCAGTCTGTGACAGAATCATTTCATGTCTACAGGACCAAACATTGCTCTTCGCATTTCAGTACTATGTAGTGTTATTATTTTGACAATTTTGCAGACCTTACTAGACCAAAAACGAATTTTACTTGATGCGGGCATGGGGCTAGTGGTTTTAGTGACTGTGAATGATGATATGATATGTGTCCACAGGCGCCTAGAACAGCTGGTGCTGTTTGTGAGATCGCTACACCTGCTGTCTTCAGCACTGCAGTTGTCTCGGCAGGAGATCAAGTCTGGACGCCTCCACTCCTCTAATGCCCTTAAATCAGGTAGGTAGTGTCAGAGATGTCAAGTTTGAAGCAGCAAGTGGGGCTGTACAGTGCTGTGTTTGTGAAGTTATTTAGATTATATCATGTGGTCTCACCTTAGGCAAGTGGGTTTGTTCAAAAGTGCCTCTGTTCACCCAGCAGAAAATGGGTACCCAGTGGGATAAGTCATGACTATTAACCATCTAGCACCTCACAGGCAACTTGGGTTAACTGGGTAATAATAATCAGATTGTATTTGTTAGCGCTATGAGCATTCACCTAATATATGGAGTTTAGCACATTATAAATGCACTTATTATCAGCCTCAATTTTTCTTGAACTTACGTATGTAGTGTTCAAGCTTAGAATTGATCTTCCGCATTCCATGCTTGTTGTAAGAAGCAAATGATAGGTTCGGGTGGACAGACTCGCTGACCTGGACAGGCTCTTCAACTTGATTGATACATGTCATTGTATCCCAGTTGTTTATCATGATGTCAATGATGTCAGTCACTGAATTATTGGCTTTACACTTGATTATTTACAGACCATCATGATGTGATTGGAATATTGCTGAATGCAGCATTAAACACCAAACAAATCTCTCCCTCTTTGTATCAGTATAGCTGCTTGTGCCCAGCATTGTGAGCACTTTGATATCCACTAGTGGTGGTCCGATTAATTGAAATAATCGACTAAGCAATCGATCATGTTTTCTCATAATCGAACACAAACAATTTTGACACACTTGTTTGCATTAACAATATTTTTCACAAGGTTGATTTTGTCTGTTATATTTCATAAGTACTACAAGCTCGTTCCTTGTCATGATTGAAATTATCGAAAAGGTTTCAGGAAATTTATGTTCCTAACATGCTAGTCCTCCTTTCAAGATGTGAAATTTGTAAATGCATTTTTCGCAATTTGCAAAAAGCACCGAAAGAAATAAATGTTTTTTCTATATTTTTGGGGGCATTAACAAACATAAACAGGAGAATTTGATAAATCACGCTAACCAATTTTTTTCCATGATTGATCGGTTGTAATGAACCAATCATCAATTGTTAGATTTTAACCAATTCCCAACACTAATATCCACAAGTCAATCCTGTATATAGACATTCCTCAGCTGCTGAATGTCACTTTAAAAGAATATTTTTAAAGACGTTGTCTGCTTCTGTTGTTTCAGTATTGAAGCAGATGAATGACTACTACCACCGGTGTGTTCTGGAGTGTCGACAGCTGCACCAGAGGCTGGGGACCACGTGTAAAACCCCCCTCACCCCCCAGCTGGTGGTGGCCACTGCCGACAAACTCATCTACAACTACGCAATCGAGATGGTGAGTAGGATACAGCAATCGTTAACAGATACTAGGGCTGGGACAGGTAACCCGAATATCCGGGGTGGGTGGGTAATGAGTTGGACCCGGGTACCCGTCTCGGACCCGTTATGATCATGTGACCAATAGATTAAACAGTGTAATATGTTATTCTTTCATGATTAAAATATTGTATTGTCTTTGAAGATTTACACATAATTTACAGTCACCTGTTTTGAATATAATACATGGTTAGGATATTGAAAAATTCGAAATTTTAGCCTCCAAGCTGAAGAATATATTGTCATTTCTTACAAATTTGATGTCAGGAATTAACAAAATGGGTAGCAGGGTAGGGTAATAGGGGGTGGGGTACCGGGGTAGAAAATTTGGAACCGTTCCAGCATTACCAGATACTGAGAGATTAAGGGGCTTTGATCTAAATGCATCGGTCCACTTGCACAAATAGAGCTAAGCTCTGTGACTGGTGTAACTCCCATTGTTTATTGTTGAAGTACAATGGAGCAGAGTTCTACGTTGGTTTGTTTGTCCGTGTTAGGAATTCAGCTGTATTTTTCACTTGTCTGCATTGGTGATCTGTAACAGGTCTTGGATATGTGGAAAACACTAGTCCATGGGGAATTATCACAGGTCCTTTGTGAATTTTAGAAACAAGTGGACTCATATTAATTATCAACCTTGGACTGGATTGATCTGTGGTCAGTTGAATGAGAGAAGACATGAGTTGCACGCTTGTCTAAGTTGCTGTTATATCAGTGTATGAAATAAGGCCCATCCAACTGTCCTAAACGGTCTAGATTTCTGACGGACGGTCTAAATTTACAACTAGCCAGCCCAATGGTCTGGTAAAAAATTAGATGTTCCATACATCTGAGTAAATTCACCATATTTGGTCTGGTTAAATCCATTTTGGGCTGGTAACATTTTGAAGTTACCAGCCCTGATGTCTGGCTGGATTTTTGGATTATTTCATGCACTGGTAGTATGGTGTACAGAGTAGTGTAGAGTGGATGGTTGGTGATTTGGTCCACTTGCTGGCTCTAAGAAACCAGCAATTGTCTCATCAGTCTCGCACAAATGTTTGCATGCTGCATCACACAAGCATAGTAACCATAAACCATTTCATCTCTTCTTCAACAAGATGTGAAATATCATTGATCTGTACAATTATAGCGTAAACCTTCCCTCTGGATTATGGTTGCCTTAATTCTGTGGTTCTCACAGTCACATACAGAAAATAAAATGAAAAAATTTAAACCCTAAGTCATAGCTATCCCTATTGGTAAGCTTACTCTCTTAACCCCAAGAGTTACCTCCCCTTGACATCACACACGCATAGTAATCATAAACCATTTCATCTCTTCTTCAACAAGATGTGACATATCATTGATCTGTACTTTTCAGTGCCAAGGAGCTGCACTAGATGAACTCTTCGGTAATCCCAAGGAGGTGCGTGATGTTTGTATGAACTGACTGAATTGTGAAAAACAGAATTATAAGTACTGATAGAGGGAAACTCCACATTATCAGAATACTGAAACCAAAAATTCAAATGACAAATGGATCTTTTATGTAGCACACAGATGGACTTTTCAGCAAACTTTATACCTGTTTAGAAATTGTTGTTCATGTTTCTAAAGAAAGTACCAAATTCTTCATTTTTCTAGTTGTTTATTGTTATGGAAGTGTCTATGTATCATGTATCATATAAAATGCCATCTATTATGGAGCATCAGGGTTTTATTTTATCATTTTACCTGAGCCCCCTGTTTCTGTTTTTAGTGTTTCCGTCGTTACACAGTAGCCCAGATCCTGCTTCACAGCCTGGCACAGCAAGCACCCAACACACGAGATAAGGACCTCCTCAATAAGTGTAAGTAACAGAGCTCTGGCTTCAGTAGTAGCATGTGGTTCAAACCTAGCATCACCAAGACTTTACTACTTTGTCTATACTATTCCTTCGACAGTGATTACATACACCCACTTTGTGATATAATCGCTATCATTAACTAGCAAGTTGAACAAAGGCATGCCTGCAGAGTGATTTTAAAAAAAAATTAAAAAAAAAAAAATTGGGGGAGGGGGGATTTAATGATTTTATGGGCGGTCACCCATTCTATTCTATTGCAGATTAGGTGTCCTCTTTAACTCAGGGGACGGTGGGTTGGCCTAGTGGTAAATGCGTCTGCTCGTCCCGCCGAAGACCCGGGTTCGAATCCCCACATGGGCACAATGTGTGAAACCAATTTCTGGTGTCCCCCGCCGTGATATTGCTGGAATATTTCTAAAAGCAGCGTAAAACCATATTCACTCACTCTTTAACTCAGCTGTAGACCCTGTATATATTTCTGCTTGTAGACAAAGAGTCTGTGGAGCACCGTCTATGTAACCTACAGAGTCAAGGCGTGATGAATCCGTACGATGCTTACAGTTGATCTACAGGCTTCTCCCAGAACTGCTGGACGGCTCCTCTACAGCTGACAGACCAGACTACAACCCATCTTTAATACAAAATAGGATAGTTGTAACAAACAGGACATAACTTCATAGTAGGAGGCTTTGGTTCAGCAACTGTGTCTTCATCCTAGGGATTAGTCAGTTATTGGAACATCTTCTGGTCAACAGTTGAATGTTTGGAATAGACGAACTGACTTGTCATGGTTTTCTTACCAATCGGTTATACACCTTCAGGTTATGTGTACTGTAATTTCAGGAACCATCGGAAATGTAAACTGAGAATTGCAGCGGTAAAGTAAGGACTTGTCAATGTCAACTTGCAATCCTCAAAGATATCAGCCTCGTCAATATGGTCCTAATCTGGTCTGAAACTTCACCTAGATCAAACCAATTTGTGATATTGTCAGTTGATTGATGAGAATTTTCACCTGAAGGCTTGTCTCTCAACAGAAGAACTGTCTCTATCGGTCGTCTTGCCATCGGTTGTTAGGACTGTCAGTCCAGATTGCAGCCATTGATAACGACGTCTGACCCTGATGTACTCAATGGACTAGAATTAGGTTAGACATCTTCGGTGACGATGGCCGAGTTGAAATATCAATGATACCTCATTTCCGTTTGAGAATTTTGTTACTGAACCAAACATTTTATGGCGTAACCGATTTGCATTTGATTTACTACTGCCATATTGTTCTGAGTTGACACTGAAGTCGGAAGTGCATGTGCCAAAAACAAAAGGACACCCAGAGATCATCTTTGGGTCACTGTTTCAAAGGATCTTCGATGCCTTTAATCCTGAAAACTGCAATTGTATTTCTAACATACAACACAAATTCATTCAAAGATACATTTGTTCTATGTGTTCTAGTCTAGTTGAGGAGCCTAGACTGCTGAAACCATTGGACAAGAACTATATTGATATAGTGCTTTTATGGACCCTTACATGAAATACCTCTGATTCTAACTTTCTGATGTACGGAGATAAATTGGAATGCATGTATGTTGGATGAATCCAAAATACCACGGAAAGGACTTGCAACAAATTAATATAATCCATGGTAAGAAGAGCAGCTACATCGTTGACATTGTTGATTTTGTACAGAAGGCACTGGATATTCCTCTGCGAGGACGTAATGCTATGTGGATTTGTTTCGTGTTGCTTGGCTACGTGATGGACATGTTCGTATTACACCAAGCGGTGGTATACAAGGATGTGTTGTGTTGTACCAGATATGGTAACCTATTATCTGCTTTGATGGGAGTTGGTCAATTGTGATGCATGACCTGGCTACAGGGACAACTTTGTCTGGGATGTTGCTGACAGCAACGGTGATGCTGAAGCTCGTCACATCCCAGTAGAGAAGCGCGCTGGTGATGTATAACAGTGATACTCTGTGTGTATATGAGACAATCTAATTTAACTAACTACTAACTGTAAATTGATCTGTTGGTATTTTGTTTGACCTCTGTCAGTTCATCTATTTGAGTTTGGTTCACAGACCTTTATCTGTAACAAAAAGAAAACGTTTTTAGGTGTGTGGTTATTTTAACACAAAATTCTGCCGTTTTATGTACGATTTTATGGTTGCCCTTTTGTAGCAAAATTCATTTTATTGTGGACTTGTGTCATTTGTCTGTGAGAATTTATTCATCAATTCTTTCAAGTAAGTTGCTGTTATTTTCAGTTATGAAAGCTCTTACTGGTGAAAGAAGTTGACTCTTGACAAAAACACAATCAGGCAACGTTCAATAGTAGCTCTTTTAGTATGTTTAGAATTAGAATAAGAACTCATTAGCCAGCTCATGAAGTCATGAACTACAAATGTTATTTTTGAATTTGAGTCAGAAAACAATTTTGATACACTAGTCAGTGGATGTGCGATTCAATTCACCTAGTCTTTTAGTAACGTTTTATACGACGGAAACTTGTACCATGCCTTTATTCACTCGATTTAGATTTGTTCTACGTTCAGTAAAGAACAGGCCTGTATCCTATATCCAACTCTGCAGTTCTTCGTCTATAGTGCTATGTGTATCATATATATCTTCAGTCATATATCAACCATGGGCTCTATTGCTTGGTAGACTGCCTATAAAGTGTTTGATATAAGGGATGTCATTTAGGTTAGCTGAAGAAGTAAACAAACGTAGCATGTCATGGATGCCCTGCAGTCTTTAGTGATAACACTAGTGTTTATGACAAAGACTTTCATGCTTGAGTTTGAACGCTGCCTTAGCTGTATTCCCATATTTGGTGCCATTCCCAACCATTCCTTTCTATAATGTATTCCAGCATTGAATCGGTTCTGATAGAAATATTTCATGTTTTTATAGTATGCTCACACTCAGTGTGTAAAGATATTAAAACATAAATAACCATTTGTTTGTACATTTCTTGCAACTCATGTGATGTATTTAAGTTAATTTATAAAATATGAAAAAAATTAGCTGTTTCTTTTATGTTGAACATGTACTTTGCTTATAGTATATTGTGATAGAAGCTGTTTTTTGTATAGAATTTACCATGCATGTCAATGTAGATAGCATTTTCACATGGATTTTTTGTTTTATTTGTACATAGCCCTGTTGAAAGTGCCTGATATCCAAAGGCATTATGTTATATTAGATGTAAATAGCCGAAAGATTTTATTTCCTTTTATTATTTATTACCCCATGCTAAGAAAGCAACATCAAGTCGTGAATGTGATATATGTTGTGACAATGTGAATGTGTATTTGTGGTACACATTAAGCCTACAGTTGACGTTATGTTGCATTGGACTGCAATTTAATTTAAGATGTGTGCGTATGAAAGAATGTTTTAATGCATTTAGACTTTTTAGTATATGTGTACGTCACCCTCGTTGTTGCCACTGTATCTTGTGTCATCCCTTTATGCAATATTCACAGCCTATATATATTATTTCTCTCATTGCTAACATGGGAGAGTTCTTCGATCTTGGAATTACATCTGCATTCTCTCCATGTCTCACTCTAATCATGTCCGCAACCTTTTTGCTCTTGAAATCACCAGGATCTCTACTGATGGAGTTGTACAAATAGACCTAGCAATTAGACTTCAGGGAAGGTTGTTTGATACCTCATCATAAAGGACTCTGCTTCTGGGACCCAATTCACAAAGCATTTGTAATGTTACTATCGTTACTCTATACTGTATCATTGGCTTACTAATGACATAGTGCTACAAAGGCTTTGTGGATAAGTTCCCTGGGTCCAGTTCCACAAAGAGCTTGTAACGTTACGACCTGTCGTAACTCAATAGTTTATCACAAGCTTACAAATGTTGTAGTTCTATGAACGCTTTGTGGATAGGGTCCCTGGGTCCAGTTTCACAATGAGTTCGTAATGTTACGACCTGTCGTAACCCTATACTGTATCATTGGCTTACGAATGATATAGCACTACAAACACTTTGTGGATAGGGTCCCTGGGTCCAGTTCCACAATGAGTTCGTAATGTTACGACCTGTCGTAACCCTATACTGTATCATTGGCTTATGAATGATTTAGCACTACAAACACTTTGTGGATGAGGTCCCGGAGTCCCGAGCCACAAAGAGTTTGTAATGTTACGACATGTCATAACTCAATAGTTTATCATAGGCTTACAAATGTCGTAGCACTACGAACTCTTTGTGAATCAGGACTCTGGTACTCCAAGCTCAGTGCAGTCTGGAGTCATATTGTTCCGGCAAGGGAGGCGATGCTGGCCATAAAAGCCCGAGTCAAGCATCACTTGTCCCGATTAACTAAGCTTGGTGAACCAGCTGTTTCATTGTCATCTTATCGCTGTTAACTGTTCATGTAATCAGTGTCACAATTTGTCATCAAACCAATTTTCCACTAGCATGACTATGAAGCACCATCTCAACTTGAATAAATTTATTACGGATATCACTGCTTGTTTGTATCCTATTTCTTACTGAAATTCATCTTCATATATATGAAAATATATCAACTGCTCTGTTAGGGTTAGATGTTTACTGTGTACAAGATCGTTTGTTTTATAGTTTGAAGGAGAAAGCTCCCTATTGGTTTATTGGTGGTATGTATATACACATGTATATGATCATTACATCATGCTTTGTGTACACTGCCCAATCATAAGTATAGACCATGCCCCTTTCTACTTCTTCATCCAATACATCAATGTATGGGCATTACTGTCATAGAGCTCTGGCCAGGTTATTCCAGTGGTAGACCATGAGCTTTACACAACTTCAATCCCTGATTTATTCTCAGTATAATGTCTCTATTTCTATAAATACCAAGGACCTTTCTCGCAGCCATGGATTTGAAAGTGATGTTGAAATTCCTGTCTCCTCATCTGTAACTCAGCACGAATATGTCTTGCTCATGGACATAATTTGATTGGATGTTTATTCACAACATTGTGCAAGTAAGCCATGCTCAAAATGAAGAAATAGTGGCATGTGAATTTTGGTTTGTCCACGAGGTGGCCAGGAATAATAAAGTTGTGGATGAACGTTACGGCAAGGAAAGATAACTCTTCCTATAAGATCTTGACATTCATTAACTGATATTGAAACCAGAATTTTTTACAAAATGATTAAATGAATCACTCAAGGATGAGTGTTCTCTTTTCAAGTGTTCCTGAACTAGTAGTCTGATCCACCAGAACACGAGGGGCTTCATATTGTCATGAGATGTCAGGGAGAAGGGTTTACTGCATGGCCTTGTTCCACAGAGCAGTCGTAATGCTGCATGTTGTAAGTTAAAATTAAAATGGTAAGACAAAGAGTGTCATGCTGTGTCTGAGTGTGATATCCATGTCAAACTGTTAGAATTGATCTTCAGTAACCCATGCTTGTCGTAAATGGGTGGTCAGGCTCGCTGACTTTGCTGGCACGTCATCGTATCCCAGTTGCGTAGATCGATGCTCATGCTGTGGATGACTGGATTGTCTGGTCCAGACTCAAGTATTTACACCACCATATAGCTGGAATATTGCTGAGTGTGGCGTAAAACTTGACTCACTCACTCCCTGATGCATGTATCTCCTTGGATAAACACTATACATGGCTGCAAACCACTGTGTAAGTGCAATGGCCTTAAATGCGACTTTTATGATCACTATTTGAAATAATAAAAAGTATGATAGTGTTGAGATCACAGTTGGAACAGGTCAGATAAGATCACTTGGTTAACATCAGACTTTCATCCACAATTTTTTTACCCTGAGCTTGTAATTACCTACAGTTTAGGACCTAGCATGTGCTGCTAGTTCTTGAAATACAATGTTGAAGTTAGAGCTATCTGTTTTCTTCATCCTTTCATTGCCAGTACTTCATGGGGTTTTCCACAACTGTCCTCCTTCATCCATGGATACATGTGGCTTCTTTGTGATACGATACTTTTGAACGATAAATCAAATGGCTTTGTATATTCATAGATAAATAGAAGACCTAGTTCTGACAAGTGAGAGATCAACAACATGAGCATCGATCTGCACAATTGGGAACCGATGACGTGTGTCAACCAAGTCAGCGAGCCTGACTACCTGATCCCGATAGACGCCTCTTGCGACAAGCATGGGCTACTGACGGCCAATATTCTAACCCGGACCTTCATGGGTCAGTTCCGACAAGAGGGAAGACAGAGAGTGATAAGACCAATGACCAGGTAGATGACTTGGGCAATATTCCTCATGCAGCATGTGACAATGCCACTCCTACACTGATCGGTGCTCATACTGTTGATCACTGGATTGTTTGGTCCAGACTCAATTTTTCAACAGACTGTCGCCATATAGTTGGAATACTGCTGAGTGTGGTGTTAACAACCAACCAACCAACCAAGCACATTAGTTCAGTGTTGGATAATGGTAGGGTTGACCAAATCCATACAGGAGTGGTGGTGGAATTGGGTTTAACGTCGTGCTTGAGAATATTTCGCTCATATGACTCATACAGGAGTAGCTTTTTCAGATTCATTGACTTATACAGAGCCACGTTTCATAAAACCGGACAGATCTCATTTCTTGAACACATAGCGGCCATATGCATTTACTGGAAATGGAAAAATGTGGAGTAGATATACCCATGAAGTAATGACAATGAAATCCGTTACGCTGGCTTGCTTGCATTTCTTGTGTTTTTTCATCATTATATATCAACTATCATAATCAAATTGATCATTGACGTAACATTGAAAACTGTTCCCCATGTGAAGTGAAGACATCCTTGAAATGGCAGAGTTATAATCATGAAGTGTCCCACATAACTGACACATTTCATTAAGAAAAGAAATCAAAGATTCATTGTATTATTGTTTTGTACTCCTTCCAAGTGTACGAAATGTCCACACAATGACCAAAACATCTATGATTTCATAGACCTAGTTCACATTGTGTCATGAATTTGGACTCAACCAAAGCAGAACAATTACTGTCCGACTTAAATCGTTAATTTCTAATCTACAGCTATCAAACAGACATCATAACTGAAATACTACGGAATGTTGTTTTGTTGTTGAGATGCTTGGAGGATATTCAACGTTTTTCATACCTTTGTCAGAAAGAGATCTCAATAATGTGTTATTTGCATTGAAACAGTGATGACAAGTGACTTGTGTTCCAGTACAACCCGGTTCTGTAGATTGTCGGTATTAGGCCTCTTTGCCTACAAATGCAATATTTGAGACAGGTGTACATGTATATAGATGTATTTATTTCAATAAAGCAGCACTTTGAGAGGACTGAAAATGTGTTTGTTGGTTTGTCGGGAAAGAATTATATTCCAAGCCCAGGGATTGGGATAGAAAACTTTGACAATGAGCCATTTTCAGGATTATTAGCCATTTTCTGAATTTAGAATGGGCCACTGCCCTTGTATCAATAATAAACTTCAAAATATTAATGGGCCATTTTTATTCTAATCTGCAAAATGGCCCATGGCCCCTGCCTTTCCCAATCCCTGCAAGCCATGATGTATTACAGGGGCATGGGAGGCCCAGTCGTGTAATGCCCGCGATTCTCTTTGCCGAGTTGCTTCCCTTGAGCATATCTGAAACATATGTTTGTGGGTTCGAAACTTGCATCACTTCAGACTTTAACAGTAATGCCAGACCAATTTTATTTTTTGTTTTGCGGATCCACCGGTTGTAATTTTTCAAGAATAAGAAAAAAAATTAAAATTAATTCCCCCCCCTCCAAAAATAAAATCCTCACATTTCTATTGGCCAAATATCTAAACTTACATAAAAAGAATTTTTTAAATTGTTTTTTGCCCCATATACACTTCATAATTTGCGCAAAATATAATACTTTTAGTATTTAAAAGGAATATTACTTTGACTGGTGAGTTTTATGTTATATTTTTTTTCCCTCCTGCCTTTAGGTTTTCTGAGGACAAAAATCCATAAAACAAGAAATAAAATTGGTCTGGCCCAAGCTGAGATTCCATGATATGTTGGTGTACAACAGGGAATGTTGAGTACCGATAATATCACCACTTGAAGCATCGTGAAAGACCATGTGATTGGACAACTATTGAAGCAGTGGGATTCAAACCAGACTGACAAACCCATGGTGGTAAATAGGCCTTCGGTATTTTATCAGAATAGACTAGACTGCATTGATGGGATGTAGTTTGACTGATTGAAGAGTGAGTTACTGCTTCGAACGGTATTTCAATTACACCACAGCGTTTTATTGAGTGAGTGAGTTTTAAGTCACATCAGTATTTCAGTCATATTGTGACTGACTGACTGAGTTTGGTTTTACGCCGCTTTTAGCAATATTCCAGCAACATCACGGCGGGGGACACCAGAAATGGGCTCACACATTGTACCCATGTGGGGATTCGAACCCGGGTCTTCGGCGTGACGAGCCAACGCTTTAACCACTAGGCTACCCCACCGCCCCAGTCATATTGTGACCATCACAGTGTTTTAGGTTGGTGTGAGAGGAAAGACTGGAGTGTTATAGGTGTAGACTGTTACCACTTCAGTGAAACCCACATGTATAATTATAGTGCTGACAATATAATGATCACAGCTAACTGGGAATTGGAACTCAAGTTCATAGGCTTCTGGCATGCCTAAAGGAGACAACCGCCTCCGTGGTGTAGTGGTGAGAGCGTCCGCCTGGAGAGCGGAAGGTCGCGGGTTCGATCCCCGATCGCGTCATACCAAAAGAAGTTAAAATATGGTACTTGTTGGTCCCTGCCTTGCGTTCCGCATTAATGGATGTAGTGGTGAGAGCGGAAGGTCGCGGGTTCGATCCCCGATCGCGTCATACCAAAAGACGTTAAAATATGGTACTTGTTGGTCCCTGCCTTGCGTTCGGCATTAATGGATACAACAAGGACTGGTCGGCTTGGAGTCAGTATAATGTGTCTGAGTGGGGTATTCATGCTTCACTGCTGCATGGTATCTCAGTGGGCTAGCACTATAAAACCAGCTTAAGTCTGGGCTAGTACAAGCAGCTGCACATACACATACACATGCATGCACGTCGTCATATGAACGAAATATTCTCAAGTACGACGTTAAACCCAATTTCACCCCACCTAAGGGAGACAACTCTGTGCAACAAATCGCAGCTCCCCATGAATCTCAGATACACTGGCATCACTACCAAAATACTTCTGTATCACAACTGACCTACCTCTGTATTCTGTATGCCTAACTAACCAGTAACATTCCACAGACATCAGATCGCTCCAGAAATCAAGTATTTGTACCACTATTGAAGTGAGTGAGTTTAGTTTTACGGGCCCACTCAGCAATATTCCAGCTATATGGCGGCGGTCTGTAAATAATCGAATCTGGACCAGACAACCCAGTGATCAACAGCATGAGCATCGTTCTGCGCAATTGGGAACCAATGACGTGTCAACCAAGTCAGCGAGCCTGACCACTCGATCCCGTTAGTCGCCTCTTACGACAAGCATGGGTTACTGAAGATCAATATTCTAACCCGGATCTTCACGGGTCACCACCATTGGACAAAGTTTCACACCACTATTGATCTGAATAAGAAAGATAAGGTGTTTCTGGATAAATGACGTTCAGTGATGGAAGAGCAAGTCTCATGGCTCAATCAGAAATTCAAACATACAAATCCAGCCAATGAGATGTTTGATTTTCTATAGCTGGAACTGGATGGTTCTGCCTCTGTTTTTGCACATAATACAAACTACCTTTCCGATTAACACATACCCAAGTGTTACAATGGTGCTGGATACCCTAAAAGTTTGGGGCTCATCTCCTCTGCTGGTTTGGAGAAGTTGAAAGTTCACAAACGGACAACAGAAAGTGTGTTTAATTTTATGCTGCTTTTGGCATTATTTCAGCAATATCATGGAAAGGAACACCAGGCATAGGCTTCACACATTGTACCCAAGTGGGGAATTGAACCCGGGTCTTCAGCGTAATGAGCAAACACTTCAACCACAAGGCTACCCCTGAACTGAACAATCTGTGCCGTTTGGACCTTTGGTGATTCTTCAAACTTAAATGAGTAGATCCAGTTTTCTTTTCATCTTAAAAACTTTACATATACCTAAGAAAGCATGTTAGTTGACGTTACTTGAAAGAATATGGTGTTGGTATCCAGTAGATACTTTATTATGCCTTTCTTTGTCATAAAGCGATCGTAAACATGTAAAACAAAAACAGAATGTGTTACTGGAACATGACAGGAGAACAGTCCATATTCCAGTCTGTGGAATTCCTTTTGATCCTAATTGATGCTAATCAGCATACTGAAAACCCAATACCTTTTCATGGTGAGTTAGTGAGTGAGTATAGTTTTACACCGCTTTTTAGCAATATTCTAGCAATATCACAGCAGGGATATCAGAAATGGGCTTCACACAATGTACCCATGTGGGGAATCGAACTCGGTTTTCGGCGTGACGAGCGAATGCTCTAACCACTAGGCTACCCCACTGCCCCTCACCTACAAGAGCTCAAATATAGGTGAAATTATGTTCAGTACTTGTACTTGCTTCCTGTTGACTGGCCAGCTTGAAGCAATTGTGCCATACTCACTCACTCACTCTTGTGTGAGAGTTGGGTTTTATGCCATTTTTAGCAATATTTTACCAAACTCACAACTAATAAGACTCAACAGAAACTGCTAAATGTAATCATCTTGCCATTAAATCAACCATTGTAAAAGTATTAATACAAACTGAAAGGTGATAGACTTTCACTGACTTAGAGCCTATTTTCTTTGTGGGGATAAGTTTCCCTCTCAATTGGACTACCTTGTACTTCATCAAGATCATTTCAACCAATCAGATCGGAACATTCAGACACGGAGTCACGATATTGCTGTTTCATCAAGTTGATATTCGACAAGGTGATAATGGACAAGGTATGATATGAGGCGTTTTTGCCCCTAATGATCAGAATAATTCAAGATAACATTAAGAAGTTGTTATCAATGTCTAATTATCTCTCCCTCTTGAAATAATATTAAGTGCTTTACTAAATTAACTATCAGGAGATAACCTAAAAGCTCTCCAGGTTAATGGACAAGGTATGATATGAGGCATTTTTGCCCCTAATGATCAGAATAATTCAAGATAACATTAAGAAGTTGTTATCAATGTCTAATTATCTCTCCCTCTTGAAATAATATTAAGCGCTTTACTAAATTTACTCTATCAGGAGATAACCTAAAAGCTCTCCAGGTTAATGGACAAGGTATGATATGAGGCGTTTTTGCCCCTAATGATCAGAATAATTCAAGATAACATTAAGAAGTTGTTATCAATGTCTAATTATCTCTCCCTCTTGAAATAATATTAAGCGCTTTACTAAATTAACTCTATCAGGAGATAACCTAAAAGCTCTCCAGGTTAATGGACAAGGTATGATATGAGGCATTTTTGCCCCTAATGATCAGAATAATTCAAGATAACATTAAGAAGTTGTTATCAATGTCTAATTATCTCTCCCTCTTGAAATAATATTAAGCGCTTTACTAAATTTACTCTATCAGGAGATAACCTAAAAGCTCTCAGGTTAATGGACAAGGTATGATATGAGGCGTTTTTGCCCTAATGATCAGAATAATTCAAGATAACATTAAGAAGTTGTTATCAATGTCTAATTATCTCTCCCTCTTGAAATAATATTATGCGCTTTACTAAATTAACTCTATCAGGAGATAACCTAAAAGCTCTCCAGGTTAATGGACAAGGTATGATATGAGGCGTTTTTGCCCCTAATGATCAGAATAATTCAAGATAACATTAAGAAGTTGTTATCAATGTCTAATTATCTCTCCCTCTTGAAATAATATTATGCGCTTTACTAAATTAACTCTATCAGGAGATAACCTAAAAGCTCTCCACTTGCTGTTTCTGTTTATGAAACAGGAGGCAAGGGTAACTACAAACCAAATTAAAAGGATTACAAATTCATCTTTGGTCACAGTCTTGCTCATAAGTGATTTTCACTTGACATCAACCTTCTTCACTCATATTAGCCATTCTTACATATTTGATCACATCAGACAACCAATATTTGCAAGCATAATATAGAAAAAAAGGATACCTGCCTGTCTTTTGAGTGAGTGAGTGAGTTTAGTTTTACGCTACTTTTATCAATATTCCAGCAATATCACAGCAGGGGACACCATAAATGGGCTTCACACATTGTACCCATGTGGGGAATCGAACCCGGTGTAACAGGCCAAACTTTCCCCCTGGCCAAACCTTCCCCGGACAAACTTTACCCACCCTTGAATCAACTTTAAAGGCTATTTCTTTCCCACCCTTGTTCTTATATCAAAAGGGGGAGATTCTGTTCTAGCTAGGCTATTTCCTCACAAACCTTGTTTTCATGTTTATGTTCGTCTTGAATAAATTAGAAACGTAAACAAGACATAGCTATTCACGTGAACACATTGATAAGATATTCATGTTGATGTCAAGTTCCATTAACAATTTACAGGTCATCTTCATCTTCATATATAACATGTACATGGTTCACATATGTCTCAAAATCCTTATATAAGGTAAGATTTAAAAGAAAAGCAAGCATAAAAGCAAAGTATCAAAAGCATGTAAGAGCATGTGTATACAGTTAATGATGCAGATGTTGTCAAGAAACAAAGTATGAATTGTTTGCATCATTATTTTCCTACATATCAGACGTAAACATCAACATAACAACAACAACCCAACACAATATCTGTACGACATGCTGTATCATCTATCATCCACTATAGTGCCTTATTCTACATTCAAAAGACAAGGTTTGATAAGGGGTATTTTTGGCCGATGGATATCTGAAACATTTCATTCACCAAAAGTGATTATGGATTAGTAAACAAGCTTATGTGAATAATGTTCCATTACATTAATCAATAATGCATAAATACATCAAATATAAGATAATAAACAGCATAAGAGAGCAAGCAACCTGTGTATATTACATCTTATTTACCTATCAAATGTGCGATTGATAATAAACAGCATAAGAGAGCAAGCAACCTGTGTATATTACATCTTATTTACCCATCAAATGTGCGATTGATAATAAACAGCACAAGAGAGCAAGCAACCTGTGTATATTACATCTTATTTACCCATCAAATGTGCGATTGATAATAAACAGCAGAAGAGAGCAAGCAACCTGTGTATATTACATCTTATTTACCCATCAAATGTGAGATTGATAATAAACAGCATAAGAGAGCAAGCAACCTGTGTATATGACATCTTATTTACCTTCAAATGTGCGATTGATAATAAACAGCATAAGAGAGCAAGCAGCCTGTGTATATTGCATCTTATTTACCCATCAAATGTGCGATTGATAATAAACAGCACAAGAGAGCAAGCAACCTTTGTATATTACATCTTATTTACCCATCAAATGTGCGATTGATAATAAACAGCATAGGAGAGCAAGCAGCCTGTGTATATTGCATCTTATTTACCCATCAAATGTGCGATTGATAATAAACAGCACAAGAGAGCAAGCAACCTGTGTATATTACATCTTATTTACCCATCAAATGTGCGATTGATAATAAACAGCATAAGAGAGCAAGCAACCTGTGTATATTACATCTTATTTACCCATCAAATGTGAGATTGATAATAAACAGCATAAGAGAGCAAGCAACCTGTGTATATGACATCTTATTTACCTTCAAATGTGCGATTGATAATAAACAGCATAAGAGAGCAAGCAGCCTGTGTATATTGCATCTTATTTACCCATCAAATATGCGATTGATAATAAACAGCATAGGAGAGCAAGCAGCCTGTGTATATTACATCTTATTTACCCATCAAATGTGCGATTGATAATAAACAGCATAGGAGAGCAAGCAGCCTGTGTATATTGCATCTTATTTACCCATCAAATGTGCGATTGATAATAAACAGCACAAGAGAGCAAGCAACCTGTGTATATGACATCTTATTTACCCATCAAATGTGCGATTGATAATAAACAGCATAAGAGAGCAAGCAGCCTGTGTATATTACATCTTATTTACCCATCAAATGTGCGATTGATAATAAACAGCATAAGAGAGCAAGCAACCTGTGTATATTACATCTTATTTACCCATCAAATGTGCGATTTGGACAGATGAAAAAATAATGAAAAGCGTTTTCATAGGCAGGAGCAGGATGGATTTAGAGATATATGTTGTTCAAACATGTATGCATTCAAATCACTACATCCAAGTCAGAGGCAAAAATGGACTATTTGACAAAAATGTGTACGGAACTTTAAGTCAAAACTACTGTCGGTTTGATGTTCATAATAACTTATTCTCCCCCTTTTGATATAAGAACAAGGGTGGGGAAGAAGTGGCCTAGCTAGCCAGAATTTCCCCCTTTTGATATAAGAGCAAAGGTGGGGAAGAAGTGGCCTAGCTAGGCCAGAATCTCTCCCCCACCTTTCATAGAAAACAGAACAAAATATCCTACTTTAAACAGGGGGGAAACTTCAGCCTAGCCCAAACTTTCCCCGAGGTAAGAATATCCTAGAACGAAACTTCCACTGGGGGGGAAGTTTGGTTTACAACGGGGAATAACTGGCCTGCTACACTGGGCCTTCGGCGTGACGGGGCGAACGCTTTAACCACTAGACTACCCCACCACCCCTCCTGCCTTTTGAGAATGTCTGATAATTTTCATGGCAATATTTCAAATATATTTAAAACATTTAATATTTGCGATTTCTAAACGGCTAAAAAGAGTCCTTCTGGTTCATCCTCTTGAAAACATTTCTAGATGCAAGAATGGATATATATTTTGGTGGATTTCATAAAGGAAATTGGCACTAATACTTGCATCAACATTTAACACCCTCATTCAATCTGAAAGGTAAGATACATGCATATATTTTCCACATATACATACTATAACAGTTAACCCTGTGTATAAAACATATAATATACTAAGTACATGTTTCGCTACTGTTTTAAACACCAGTAGACAGTGTACATAAAACACATAACAGCTTCTCCCGAAGTGTGGGGGTTAACAGACCATGTGACCCTTCCATACAACCGTGAAAATATACATCAACAACTTCTGTATAAATACCAGTTTTAAACAAAATATGTATACATTATTGTACAACAGAGTTGCATGTATTATTCTATTATTTACAATGTCATATAATCAGTTGTTGAGTTGCTACAAGAACACTGGATATACTTCTATGTTCCTCTGCTGCTTGTCTGTCCATCCTTTGAGCAGAATTTTACACCAGCATCCCTTTTCAGGCAGCAACCTTTGCAGTTAGTGACTCCTTGAGCTAACAGTTAACATTAAAGCTAAGAATCTCTTTTCACATAAAAAGGAATCCCTCAGTTAACATCATCCCCTACAGCTAACAATGTCTTCAGTTAACATGAACCCCTGCAGTTAACATCAACCTATTCATTTAACATGAACCCCTGCAGTTAACATCAACCTCTACAGTTAACATGAACCCTTGCAGTTAACATCAACCTATTCATTTAACATGAACCCCTGCAGTTAACCTCTTAGAATAACATTAACCCCTCAGTCTAAGTAAACTTAGACTCAGTATTATTCGTTACACTGCTATACTGAGTCTAACAAAACCTTGTGGAAGGTCGCGTCAGGTAACCTTTGAGAGACCTCTGACCGTCCAATCAAACGCGAGACGACCGAACGGATTTAACCAATCAGACAACGGCTACTATTTAGGGTTCGGCGGAACTTACAAAATGGATTTTCTCTTCCCCGGTCACCAACACTGATCTCATAACAAATGAAAACCCTCATAAAACACAGATATATGACCTGCAGAATATACGCTTTGTTTTTTTTGTTGACATGGTTATCATTAGCTAATATTTCCGCAAGCTGACACCCTTGAATACTGACAAAACCCTATTTTCTGCGACTGTTTACTCACTGTTGTGGCGTGCTCCATGTGCATCACTCGGAAACGATCGTACGGAAAATAGCATTCGGAATCGTTCGGGTACAAAACTTTTTCGAGGTAAAAGTTCAAAAGGTATGTGTGAATGTCAACTTTCGCGATTTGGTAAGCTGTGTTCTGATTGGTCAATTGAAAAGGTTACCTGACGCGACCTCCCATAAGGTTTTGTTAGACTCAGTATAGCAGTGTAACGAATAATACCGACCCCTACAGTTAACATCAACCTCTTAAAATAACATTAACTTCTTCAGTTAACATCAACCTCTACAGTTAACATCAACCTCACCATCAACTACCCTTACAGTTCACTACAATCTCTTCAGTTAACAATATGTCCTTCAGTTAACAACCCCTTCAGCCATCAGCTATCCATACAGTAAACAACAATCTCTTCAGTTGAGATAAAATCCTTCAGTGTAGAGCAGTTATTCAGTTATCACAAACCCTTCAGTAAAAACCCCTTTAGTCATCCACTACTCCCACAGTTAACAACCTCTTCACTTAACCACATGTCCTTCAGTTAACAACCCCTTTAGTTACCCTTACAGTTATAACAACAATCTCAATACCTGACCAACTCTTCAGTTAACAGGGCTCCAGATAATTTTTCAACATCAGGAGTACGTACTCCTTATTTTTGCAACATAGGAGTACTGGGAAAACTTAAGAGTAGTACATTTAGAGTACTGAATGGAATTTTGCGAATCGATAATCTTGTGTTTCGTTTCATATATGCATCACAACATTGCTACTCTTGTGTAAACAGGTCAATAAACAATCAAACAATACTTTTTCAGATAAATACGTCTGTAAATGATTCAAAAACAGTGCAGCAATGCAGTGATGCATATGTGCTACGTGTTCTAAATTATTTTCTACTGTATCGTGCATATTTTTTATCCGTACATACGCCGATACGGCCTTTATCTGTAAAGGTTAACAAGCACCTCTCCTGTTAACAACCACCCCTTATGCTAACACCAAACCATTAATTGTAGCATCTATAGTTCATCATGTTTGGAGGTGACGTCTCTCTGCAGGAGCTCGTACGTCTTTACAGGATTGCTGTCCCAGTGTTTGTGAAACGACACATGACTTCTGTGTTTGAGAAAGTCAGCACTGTAGTCCTCCATCCGAGCCTGCAGTGACAAAAGGAGACACAGATTTACACTGGTGTTCCTCCAGTCAGCAGATGCTATGAGATGAGTTAAGGGGAGGGTTATATTTAGTTACACCAGGCAAAAACAGGTTGCACCTGCTGCTCAGTATGGATTATATATATATTGCTGGAGTTTTAGGACTGATCATTTACAACAGCACTAAAACAAAATTATTCGGGGTCTGATAAGATCATGTTATCTTACTTAAAAACAATTATGACATGAACAGAATGGTAAGACTACAGAATACTGGATACCTCCCGTTATCTTTGAAAGCACAAGTTTACTTTTGGTTAGGGTTAGGGTTAGTTTTAGATTTAGGTTTAGGTTTAGGGTTAGGGTTAGGGTAAATTTTAGGGTTAGGGTAAGGGTTACGGTTAGGGTAAGGTTTAGGGTTAGGGTAAAGTTTAGGATTAAGGTTAGGGTTAGGGTAAAGTTTAGGGTCAGGCATAGCGTTAGGGTTAGGGTGACGCTAAACAATATGGCTGGTAGGTATCCGGTATTCCGTAGGTGTACCGAACAGAACAGTCGGTGGTTCATGTGGTCATCAGAGTCACATCACCAAAGCCGGTCCTCATCATTCTCTTTTCCAGCAGAAGTCGGTACAGCAAAATATCAACATGCACTGGGTGGCGTAACTAAGAGGTAGTATTTAGCAGCTTCAGGTTGCACCAGTTCAAGTTCTAAATGCTTAAGACCCATGAAGATCCGGGTTAGAATTGATCTTCAGTAACCCGTGCTTGTTGTAGGAGGACACTAACGGGATTTGGTGGTCAGGCTCGCTGTCTTGGTTGACACATGTCATTGTATCCTAATTGCGTAGATCGATGCTCATGCTGTTGATCACTGGATTGTCTGGTCCAGACTCGATTATTTACAAACCGCTGCCATATAGCTGGAATATTGCTGAGTGCGGCGTAAAACTAAACTCACTCACTCTAAATGGTTAAATTGAGCCCGATCAACTGTTTGTTGTTTGAGCTGCACTTAGCAACATTCCTGTTTTTTAAGGCAGCCTGTAATTAGTTATGCACCAGAAAATCCAGTGATCTGCATAATTGGGATGTAATAGCACACATAACCAAGTCAGTGAGTGAAACCACTCAATAGTGTCTGTTGCCTCTTATGAAAAGCATGGGTAAGTGAATGCCAATTCTAATCCTGATTCTTCACAGTTTGGACATCTTTTACAATGGGACTAGACAGCGGACCAGTTATTGGCATTAATAACTCTGTCCTGTTTCTACCTGGTGAGTGAGGTGAACTAGGGAGAGAGGCATATATTGGGAGAGCGAGATCTGTACCTGGTGTATATAGGCAGTGAATGAAATAAGCCCCAAACCCAGCCAGACATCAGGGCTGGTAACTTCAACAAGAGTCATCAGAAGATGACATATCCCCCTGGCCCCTACATATTTGAAAGAACAAATCATCTGACAGTTACTTGAAGTCCAGCTTGATTATTTTTTAGAGTAAGTCCAAATCGTTTCCATGGAAATCATGAAAATATAAATGCTAAAAATCTAAAATAGCAAAAGGCACCACTTCAGGAATTGCCTCATATATCTGCCAAGTTCTGTTGAAAGATATTATACGGTTTTCGAGTTGTGCTCGGGAAACAAAGCCCACCCCTCCTTTTTGAGACTAAGTCGGAATTGTTTCCATGGAAACCGGGAAAAATAAAAATTCCAAAATTCTGTAAATAGTAAAAGGCACCACTTCAAGATCTGTCTCATATATCTGCCAAATTCTGTGGAAAGATATTGAAGGGTTTTCGAGTTGTGCTCCGGAAACGAAGCCCACCCCTCCCTTTTGAGACTAAGTTGGAATTGTTTCCATGGAAACCGGGAAAAATAAAAATGCCAAATTCTGCAATTAGCAAAAGGCATCACCTTCGGTTCTGTTTGATAGATCTACCAATTTTTGTTGCCAAATATTGAGTTACGCTTACGTTTTTGAGTTATGTGCTGGAAAAAAAATGATTACGGATTGACGGACGGACGGACAAGGCATCGACTATATCCCCCCACATTACATGCCAGGGGGATAAAAATGTTACCAGCCCAAAATGGATTTAACCAGGCCTGACAACAAGATTTAAGAAACATCTAAATTTTTTACCAGACCATCAGGCTGGCTAGCTATAAATTTAGACTGTCCGTCAGAAATCTAGACAGTCTCGTGCGGTCGGACGGGCCTTACATCATACACTGATATAGGGAGAGTGAGATCTCCACCTGTGGCCGTATGCACATATCAGGTGTAGCTAACGTCAGGCGCAACACACTATGTCGGGCTTAGAAGCGCCCTGCTCTTACACGTCATGCACAATGTCGGTTAAGCCAAGGCATTACTACGCCTGACTTAACGTATTTACGTCCAGGCGCAGTGTGCTATTTTTAGATTTTCAAACGTTTTTAAACCACTGGGAAAAGGTGCGAAACAATTTCGCAGCACATCCTACTACACCGGGAAACCCTGCCATGTTGTAAAAACAACAGTCTTTCAGTGTTATGAGTTCATTTTGGTTGGGAAATATAATAATCAATATCATCTCTGATTGTACTCACTATCTTGAAAATGTCAATTGTCCTGAATCTAAATCTTCTGTACATATCAAGGTCATGGTACATTTCTAAAGGGTTTGACCTGTCTCTAAATATACGGTTTCTGTAGAACTGTCATCTCCGATATTGGTATACAACTGCCACCATTACAGGGCCACGCCTGTTGGGTAAGATGGAGCGCTACACCTGGCGTAACTTTAGCTACGTCTAAGATATGCATACAGGTTTAAAGTTACGCCCAGGTGCACATTTCACTAACGCCTGGACTAGAATTTATGCCTGACATATGCATACGGCCACTGGTGTATATAGGGAGAGTGAGAACTACACCTGGTGTATATAGGGTGAACGAGATCTACACCAGGTGTATATAGGAAGAGTGAGAACTACACCTGGTGTATATAGGGTGAACGAGATCTACACCAGGTGTATATAGGGTGTGTGAGATACATCACCTGGTGTATATAGGGTGAGTGAGATCAACAACTGGCGTATATAGGGTGAGTGAGATCTACTGGCGAGAGTGAGATCTACAAATGGTGCATATGGAGTGAGATCAACACCTGGTAAATATAGGGAGAGTGAGATCTGTACTGGGTGTATATATGGAGAGTTAGATCTACAACGGGTGTATATAGGGAGAGTGAGATAAATCACCTGGTGTATAAAGGGTGAGTGAGATCTACACCTGGTGTATATAGGCTGAGTGAAATAAATCACCTGGTGTATATAGGGAGAGTGAGATCTACACCTGGTGTATATAGGGAGAGTGAGATCTACACCTGGTGTATATAGGCTGAGTGAAATAAATCACCTGGTGTATATAGGCTGAGTGAGATCTACACCTGGTGTATATAGGGAGAGTGAGATCTACACCTGGTGTATATAGGCTGAGTGAAATAAATCACCTGGTGTATATAGGGAGAGTGAGATCTACACCTGGTGTATATAGGGAGAGTGAGATCTACACCTGGTGTATATAGGCTGAGTGAAATAAATCACCTGGTGTATATAGGGAGAGTGAGATCTACACCTGGTGTATATAACCTGAGTGAAATAAATCACCTGGTGTATATAGGCTGAGTGAGATCTACACCTGGTGTATATAGGGAGAGTGAGATCTGCACCTGGTGTATATAGGGAGAGTGAGATCTATACCTGGTGTATATAGGGTGAGTGAGATCTACACCTGGTGTATATAGGGAGAGTGAGATCTATACCTGGTGTATACAGGGAGAGTGAGATATCACCTGGTGTATATAGGGTGAGTGAGATATATCGCCTGGTGTATATAGGGTGAGTGAGATATCACCTGGTGTATATAGGGAGAGTGAGATATATCACCTGGTGTATATAGGGAGAGAGAGATCTATACCTGGTGTATACAGGGAGAGTGAGATATCACCTGGTGTATATAGGGAGAGAGAGATCTGTAACTGGTGTATATAGGGAGAGTGAGATCTATACCTGGTGTACATAGGGTGAGTGAGATATATCACCTGGTGTATATAGGGAGAGTGAGATCTATACCTGGTGTACATAGGGTGAGTGAGATATATCACCTGGTGTATATAGGGTGAGTGAGATATATCGCCTGGTGTATATAGGGTGAGTGAGATGTATTACCTGGTGTATATAGGGAGAGTGAGATATATCTCCTGGTGTATATAGGGTGAGTGAGATATATCCCCTGGTGTATATACAGTGTGTGAGATATATCACCTGGTGTATATAGGGTGAGTGAGATCTACACCTGGTGTATACAGGGAGAGTGAGATATATTACCTGGTGTATACAGGGAGAGTGAGATATCACCTGGTGTATATAGGGAGAGAGAGATCTGTAACTGGTGTATATAGGGAGAGTTAGATCTATACCTGGTGTACATAGGGTGAGTGAGATATATCACCTGTTGTATATAGGGAGAGTGAGATCTATACCTGGTGTACATAGGGTGAGTGAGATATATCACCTGGTGTATATAGGGTGAGTGAGATATATCGCCTGGTGTATATAGGGTGAGTGAGATGTATTACCTGGTGTATATAGGGAGAGTGAGATATATCTCCTGGTGTATATAGGGTGAGTGACATATATCCCCTGGTGTATATACAGTGTGTGAGATATATCACCTGGCGTATATAGGGTGAGTGACATATATCACCTGGTGTATATATGGAGAGTGAGATATATCACCTGGTGTATATAGGGAGAGTGAGATATATCACCTGGTGTATAAGGGGAGAGTGAGATATATCACCTGGTGTATATAGGGAGAGTGAGATATATCACCTGGTGTATTATAGGGAGAGTGAGATATATCACCTGGTGTATATAGGGAGAGTGAGATATATCACCTGGTGTATATAGGGTGAGTGAGATATATCACCTGGTGTATATAGGGAGAGTGTGATATATCACCTGATGTATATAGGGAGAGTGAGATATATCACCTGGTGTATATAGGGTGAGTGAGTTATTGTTATGTCCATTCTCTTGAGGCACATGCCAAGGATCATATCATCTGGAGAGTCATCAGCTGGGCAGGTGCACTCCTTGGCAAGCTGCTTCAACAAAGGCCAGCTGAACAGCATCCTGAAGGAAGACAGCCCATTGTAACGTGTTAACGTTTTAACATTTGTAGAAAATAAAAAAATGTCTGTAGCATACTTAAGAAAAAGTAGGGGAACCTGAACTTTCAATTTGGATAGAAAGTATAAGAGTTAACAAACCTTTCAAAGATGGATGTCTTAAGAACATGCCACCATTTCTCTTTATCACCAACCCTAAACACAACGGAATGGGATGCACATGCACAATGCAGTAGCCCCAAACACATGCATGGGGTTTCATTCTTGATTTTGACTGTGTTCAAGAGGTCGATAAATCACTGTATACCATAAATTTTGGCAATCATCTTGCATCACACAGTTGTTAGTGTTTGTTTCTAGCCATTTCTTTTGTTTGAAAATGAAAATCGTACACATTCCAATTTCATGTCATACACCAGTCATCTTTCAAGAGAGATTACTGTACAAACAACTATGGTCAAAGGAAGTGCAAGGGGTGATGTACTCTCAAAATATTCATTATTATAATATCAACATTGATTAACTCCGATATATCTCTGAATTATATTTTTTTAAGAGTATATATCAACAATGTCGGCATTAGGTCAACGACTGACTGACTGACTGAGTTTAGTTTTACGCCGCTTTTAGCAATATTCCAGCAATATCACGGCGGGGGACACCAGAAATGGGCTTAACACATTGTGCCCATGTGGGGAATCGAACCCGGGCCTTCGGGGTGACAGGCCAACGCTTTAACCACTAGGCTACCCCACCGCCCCTTAGGTCAACGATGTACATAGTATATCATTGTTTGTAGCATATCAACAACAATGTATTTAACAATGTATGTTGTATACTGACAATAGTGTTTGTATTACATTATCAATATCAGTACTATATCAACAATGTCTACAACATAATGAAACAATGCTTCTAGTACATAGTTTTAGGTTTACACCGCACTCAGCAATATTCCCGCTATATGGTTCTAGTACAAAAACGACATCTTGTCAACAATGCTTTAAGGTGCATTTAAGCACCTGACTGCATCTCTGGATGATCAACTTGTTCGTCCTACCAAGTCTTACCCCCCTCCTCCAGTGATGTAGTCGTAGCCGTAGCCTCTTGCCGACATGTAGCCATACCGCTCACCCAGTGCTATTTCTTCCCTGGCATCATAGCAGGCCAAAATCAACCTCAGTTTCTGCAAGCTATAAGATCAAATGTCACTTATGTCAAACCAATCTGACTGACTGACTGAGTTTAGTTTTACGCCGCTTTTAGCAATATTCCAGCAATATCACGGCGGGGGACACCAGAAATGGGCTTAACACATTGTGCCCATGTGGGGAATCGAACCCGGGCCTTCGGCGTGATGAGCCAACGCTTTAACAACTAGGCTACCCCACCGCCCCCAAACCAATCTGAACTACAGGATAATAGTTATAATAACAGACCCAGGGTTGATTTAAGAGATGTTAACCTACTTGCACCGGGTGCAACCTAAGATAAAAACCTAGTTGCACCAGACATATTCCAGTTGCACTGCTTTTATTGCAATATGTAATGAAAGAGGTATGCTATTGAATTATTTAGATCTTAGATTCAGAAGTTTACCCACTTAAAGTTAGACTAATAACTAGGTTGCACTTTGTAATATTGAGTTGCACCAGTGCACGTAACAAAGCACTAAATCGAGCACTGATCTCTGAACTCTTTAAACTTAAAGCAAATATTCTAGCAATGACAACTTCCAGAAACTTCAATGACAAGCAAATAGGAACAGCAAATTATTATTAAGCTTTCAATCTCAATTTTGCAATAATAATTTGTTCCCTTGATGTTTGTTCTGATATCATTGTCTGACACCAGCTAAAACTGCCACTTGATTTAGAAACAACCAACAGATCTCATTAACAAAGAAATATATTTAATCAATATACATACAGAAAACAAAACAACCATAAAATATTTTTACATCAAAATTTCAAAATCAAGATGGGAATAAAATGAAAAGCTGACATCAGTCGCTCAAGAAACCATACACCCTTCATTAAGACAGGGTGGATTAGCTCTCTCAGTATTCACCTGACATGACTAATAATATGGACTGACTGACTGAGTTTAGTTTTACGCCGTTTTTAGCAATATTCCAGCAATATCACGGCAGGGGACACCAGAAATGGGCTTCACAAATTGTACCCATGTGGGGATTCGAACCCGGGCCTTCGGCGTGACGAGCGAACGCTTTAACCACTAGGCTACCCCACCGCCCAACTAACAATATGGAGGGGCAGTCAGATCTACACACAAAGTGCCCAGGTCCATGTTGTTGTTGGTTTGTTGTTTAACACCCCACCAGCAATAATCCATCTATATGGCAGCCGTCTGACAATCCAGTGATCAACAGCATGAGCACCCATCTACGCAATTGGGATACAATGACGTGTCAACCAAGTCAGTGAGCCCGACCACCCGAGCCTGTTTGTCACCTCTTATGAGAAGCATGGGTTGCTGAAGACCAATTCTATCCGTGATCTTCACGGGTTCGATTCTAATGAGATTGACCTTGATATGATGTTAGCTGACCTGATAATGGTGTCGTCATCTGCTATCAGCAGCCACTTCTTGCCAGCGAACTCCTTCCTCTCGGCAGCTCTTCTGATAATGGCCATGGTCTTCCCACAGTGGCCTGGAACAAGGACATGACAGAGTTACATCCCTTTGACATGCCCGGATATGATAATCATGTCATGAACATGATTCAGTTCTCCAGCCAGACACTGTATCCAGTAGACCACAGGTGGTCTTTCAGCTGAGATTTCTTATATTGGAAATGGTTTTCTTGCTTTTGCTGACACTGTTTGGAAGGGTATTGCAGCCATGTTACGTGCCATCTTGAAGAGCGAGGAAACTCATGATTCACATCTCTGATGTAGAGAGCTGACAAACCTAGAAACAAAGCTACAGCAAATCTGGTTCTCAAACCCACAATCATAGGTTCCATGTTTGTCAAAGGGACAAAACTCTGCACAGGTAACTATGGCACCTGAAGCGACATTCGTAACTAATCGCCCCATTCCGTGACCTACAAGAAGACTCATACCTGTATAGTACGCAATTATTGCCAAGAATCGTGGCAAACCAATCAAATTGTGCATAGTAAAACACATTTTGAAGCATGAAAATGGCAGCACCGTTGAATTTTGAAACTTTGCTAAACTATGCAAAGCACGAGTTAAACATAAACTTTGAGCTAAAGGATCAGCAACTTTAAAAATGACACATCTTTACGAACGGAATGACTGTATAGCTGTTTTGCCCTTGATATTTTGGGAGTAGCCATGTGTGGAAATTTAGAGTTATCTTTCCTTGGAAATAGTATTAGACTATTTTCATCTCTGTGCCCGATTGTGCTTAAACAAGGCCCAGTCGTGAATATGGCCACGAGAGGGGTACGAGTCACCATCCGGTTTGCCAGAATGACACGAATAGTTACGAAATTTGCTCTGAGCTTAGACTGAGTCGGGTATGTACCTCTCTCTGTATTAGGGACGCCGAGGGTGATGGTAGGTATACTGGAATCATCAACGTCACTGAAGTACTCGATGTTGCTGCTCTCCTGGCCCCATGTCTTCTTCACAACAGGAACTGAAACCCAGACAAGTAAGTGTGTTCACCATTGTTCTGCAAAATGCATCAAATGATTGCAATATGTGTGTTATAAGTGTTGGGAGTAAATGTGAAAAAAACTAGAAAGTGAGAGAGAGTGAAAACAGATGTCTCCCCCTTCTCCCAAATCAACGTTGAGACCTCAAACAATTCATTTGAATCCTTCAATTTCAAAATCTCTTAGTATGAAAATACATATTATTGAAAGAATGTTATTAGGGACCGTTAATTATTTATGGCTAGGGGTGATGATGATTTTAAGAGGGGTCACCCATTTTGTTCTGGAGAGTTGGGGGTCATCAATTTTGTACACGCGTTTCGGGGGTAGGGGTGGGGTGTTGTCATCAATTTTGTACATAAAAATATTTTTAAATTATGCTTCAAAAATATTGGAAGGGGGAGGGGGGTCATTGATTTCGTACATGACATGCAGGGGGGGTCACTTACTTTGTACATAAATTTTAGGGGGTGTCATTCACCGTGTACATGCTTCTCCATAAAAATCATCATCACCCCCCCTGGCCATAAATTATGAACGGTCCCTTAATATGTGTGTAAAGTCTTCATTTAATATTTTTTTATTCAATTGAACTTGATTGCTTATAAATAAATCAACAACTCCACAGTAATATTTTACAAAACATTGAGAAATCACAATGGGTGAAGTGGTTTTAGAGTTAAGCTCCGAACACAAACCCTAGCCTTAAAAAAGACGAAGTCTGAATTGTTGCCACAAAAACAGAAAATTTCTTTTTTTTGAAAAAAACCCCCAAAACCTTCAACCCCCAAAAGGCAAATCTACATGATATGGAGGGGCAGTATAGCAAATTTGGTAAAGATGGGTGAATCAGTTTCAGAATTTTGTGCCGGGAACGAACTTTACCCTTCAAGTCCAAATTGTTGCCATGAAAACAGAAAGAAAATGAAATTGAAAAAAATACTCAAACTCCCAAAAGCCACATCTACATGATATGGAGAGGCTGTATAGAAAATTTGGGGAAGATGGGTCTAATAGTTTCAGAATTTTGCTCTGGAACCAACTTTACCCTTCAAAAAGACAATGTCCAAATTGTTGCCATGAAAAAAGAAAAAAAAAGAAAATTGAAAAAAAAAACCCCAAAAGGCACATCCACATGATAAGGAGAGGCAGTATAACAAATTTGGCGAAGATTGTTCAAGTAGTTTTAGAGTTATGTTCGGAAACAATGGGAATGCAGACACCACAGAAACTCAACCATTGTCATTCACATTGTACATGCTTCTCCATAAAAATCATCATTACCCCCTAGCCATAAATTATGAACGGTCCTAAACAGCCCCTATGTGTTACCATGAACAGAATCAGAGGGAGGGTGAATGGGTTCTTAGCCATCCCATATAATAACTTACACCAGTGATTTATTGCAGATTCCAAACTAAACACCCTTGTCAGACAAACTTGGAAAAAACTCAATTCAACTCTAAACTGGGATTCTATAAAGTCCTTATTTCCATAGCTTCCACGGTACGCTAAGATAACATTCAATGCAAACCTGTACAGCTGTTTATTTTTCAGTGAATATTATATTTGTACTGATATCAGTGATGGGCAAACACATCTGAAAAGCAATAACATTACTTTATATTATAATTACATTAATTGGCAAATATTTTATTAGAGATTGGGAACTTTTTCTGACATTTGATTGTGAATTAGGTAAACAAAATTAAATAAAATCAGCCTCTTAGCTAGTGGTGTTCGAATGATAAAAAAAAATCTAAAATCGATCTAAAGGATTAAAAATGATTATCAATTGTAATAAAAATATTTTTGATTAATCGGAATTTTGAATTAAGTATACACCTTTGAATAAAGTATACTAACCATTTAATTTGATGAATATTCACGAACAAACATGCGCTCAACAGCGTAAAGCTATGCGCATTGTAAAACTTTAACCACTTTTATTGTTTAATTACAATTCCAGTGACTTACTTGCATGCGTGCATTTCACTGCATGACAGTATTAGTTATAAAAAAATTAATCAGAAAAAACCAGGGGAAACCCCTTAAAATTGGTGATTACATTAAAAATTAGCTAAAAATGTACAGGTTTCCAATTCCAGCAGGGGGGTAACTCAGCGTGGTGGGGGCCATATAATAAATAAAAAAGATTTTTATTTATTGTACAATATTTTTATTAAAACATTGATACAACTGTCACATGACATTTTCAGCCGCAGAAAATGCATATATGTAACCCAAGGACGATCTCTATGAAAATGAATGTATATATTTCGATTATAATTGATAAACGTTCACCATAAGTCCTCAGATAATCGATAGTGGATTTCCGATTCCCAACACTACTCTTAGCAGATCTTGATAACTACCTGTATTCATCATACAACACTGGGACAACTCATTTAGTGATCATATTTTCAACTAAAATGGCACAACACAACACACACAGACCCATCTCCTACCTCTGTCTGCATGGAATTTGCCACAGGTTTTCACAGCAACAGTGAAGTCCTCATCAGGTATAGCAGCACCCTGTGAGGGAGTCGACATAGTGAATGAATGTAACAACAAACAATTCATAAGTACATTACCGTAGATAAGCCAAATTTTGAGCGGCGTGGCTACCATTACAAAAAAAAAGACTGGGCTTACACATGATTTTTGCTTAAAATTTAAAAAAAAATTATAATTCTTGCCCAAAATGCCCCTCAAATACTATCTAAATATGAAGCATTGCAACCCGAAAAAATTGGCTTGCTAGGCGCCTGAAAGCAGTCTGTAGACAGGGGTCAGCAAGTATGAATATGAATCACTTTCCCTATCAATGTTGAAGTACACCTGTTTGACATATTTCACAATAGGTATACACAATATACACATTGTTAACAGTCAAAAACATGCAAGGGTTGAAATGAACACAATCTAATTCTCAATTAAATAAACATCTGATAACCCCCAAATAGAATTCTTTAAGTTTAAATAAAGTGTGGGCACAAGTGGCCTGGCATTTGGCCACTGCAATTTACAGTGCAGAGTTATACACAACGAGGAATTATTGAGAATTTAAAGATTGTAATTTTTATAATTTTTTCACTCATTTCTCACGTATTAAATGTGAATATTAGCAGAACATAACTCCAGATTCAAAAACAGGTGAACAGTTAGTATTTTGTCAAGTCACCATGGGCAGCAATGCAGGCTTCAATGCGGCGGGGCATACTACTGATCAAAGAAGTTAGAAAGTCGTGGTCCATGCTGTTCCAATATCGGACCACCTCTTCTTTTATTTCAGCAATATTTGTCAGATTTTTCTTATTGACACTTTCGTTAATAAGTCCCCAAACATTTTCTATTGGATTTAGGTCAGGACTATAGCTTGGCCAATCTAATAATGTCATATTTTGGGTCCGAAACCAGGCCTGGGAATGCTTTGAACGATGTTTTGGGTCGTTGTCCTGCTGGAAAATCAAACAATTTCCATAGAACACGTGAGCAGATGGAAGTAAATGTCCCTCGACAATATCTGTGTACCGCTCACTGTTCATATTCCCTTCAAATACACAGAGGGGAGTTGCCCCTAACACAGATATGCCACCCCACACGTTAAATTTCGGACTGTACTTTGGGCGCTGATACAAAGGTTTTTCAGTTTGTTTGGTCCAGAATTTCAGTGTATTAGGAAACAGCCACACAGAACTTTCATCTGAGAAAATCACATTGTCCCAGTTAAAATTTCTATGCTGTAAGCACCAGTTCAACCTTCGCTCATTTTGTTCAGGTTTCATGATCAGTGATGGAATTCCTCGACTTTTCTGCCAACCCATTGCATGCAGCTCAGTTCTAATTGTCTCCTGACAGACAGCCACAGTTCCTCTATCAATCATATTCAGCCTTGAGTTTTCTAAACTCATTCGTTTGTTTTTAGAAACAAGAATACCAAGCCGCCTCCTGTCATCGACTGTCAATTTTCTGGGCATACCGGCACCTCCCTGGTGCTCAGTGCCATATCCATTTGCAATATTTTTCAAAACACGATAAACAGTGGACAAAGGGATGCCTGTTCTACTTGAAATCACTTTAGCTGATCTGATGTCCTTGTTATAATACTCTAAAATCAACTTCCACTTCTCTAAATCATCCATACTGAGGATCACTGACAATGTCATCTGCTAGCAAGTACACAAAGGGGGACAACTCTTCACAAACTAATGAAAAAGGATAACGGAGTTGTCTCTCTTGAATGAAACCAAGCACTTGATAGCTGGTCAAGGTTGTTTATACTACAAATCCAATTAAACATATTCCTAAAATTCTCAATAATTTCTGGTCATACAATAATTTCGCAATAATTTCTGGTCATACTACCGGTATATCCCTTTGGTATAGCTGACACATGTGAGGGTTTGAATTCTGGTTCACTTTGATTGTCTCCAGTGGCCGTATGCAAATGTCGGGCATAAATTCTAGTCCGGGCGTAAGTAAAATGTGTGCCTGGGCGTAACGTTAAACCAGTATGCATATCTTACATGTAGCTAATGTTACACCAGGCGTAGCGCTCTATATTTATGCCACCTACCCAGCAGGAGTAAGCCAGGCGTAGCCCTATAATGGCGGCAGTCGTATACCGATATCGCAGACAACAGTTTTACAGAAACCATATATTTAGAGAAAGGTCAAACCTTTTAGAAATATACAACGACCTTGATCTGTACAGAAGATTTAGATTCAGGAGTATCCATTTTAAAGATGGTGGATACAATCAGAGGTGACACTGATTATAGCTCCTACCGCAATTCCACTCTTACAACAACAAAGATATGCATTCTGAGTGTTCTGACTGTTCGATGTTATATTTTCAAAACAATTCCTGTGCACTGCAACAATTGTGTTGAATATAACATTAAAGATATTTATCTGTAATTAACTTCAATTCATGCTCATTTCATACAAAACATGACTGTAAAATAAGGTTTAAATGCAGTTGAAACACATCAGATTAATGTCCAGTACAGTTGAGAATGCACATATTTATTAATTCATTAATTAAATTGGTTTTCACGTTTTTGGGGGGCTTGCTATGATTATGGCTGAAACGGATGTGCCTTGAAGTTGTTTCGCGCCTGTTCCCGGTGGTTTAAAATCGTTTGAAAATCTAAAAATAGAACACTGTGCCTGGACGTAAATCCGTTAAGTCTGGCGTAGCCGCGCCTAGGCTTAGCCGACTTTGTGCATGATGTGTAAGAGCAGGGCACTGATAAGCCCGACATAGTGTGTTACGATTGACGTTAGCTACGCCCGACATGTGCATACGACCACAGGTTTGTTAGCACCATACCCAATTTTGATTTCATCAAAGAGGTCAGCGTTGTGTTTGTTGTTTAACGCCACACTCAGCAATATTCCAGCTATATGGCGGCAGTTGGTAAATAATCGAGTCCGGACCAGACAATTCAGTGATCAACAACATGAGCATCGATTTACACATTTGGGATACAATGATATTTGCCAACCTAATCAGCGAGCTTGACCACCCGATCCCATTAGTCGCCTCTTATGACAAGCATGGGTTACTGAAGATCAATTCTAACCTGCAACTTCATGGGCCAAAGACCTGTTTCACTTCAGGTATTCCCCCCACTTGGACATGCCATTAAATAACAAGACCACAAAGCAGCATTTAACGCGACACACTCTTAAACAAGTGTTTGCCAATAATATGGCAATGTCCCCTGCTGCTAAAGAAGAATTAAATATTTATAACATATTTACTAGTTTTTATTGTTTTGGTCACTTACAAGATTCCTGAAATGACTTGTGTTGCATAATCACCCAATGTAGATTGTTGACATAATGTTTTATGAGATATCATGTTTAATTTTTGTTTATACAAGTTTGAAAAGTGGTCAAAGTGTCGTGGTGACCTTGAAAGTAAGGTCAAGGTCACCCAAATCGACTGGTGTCTGCATAATCCCCCAATGTAGGCTGTCACCAAATTTGAAGACATTGGATACAACAGTGCATGAGATATCACGTTAACAAGAATCGGGACGTACGTACGTATGGATGCTGCTGAATACATAGTTCCCCGTTCAGCGTTGCAGCGGTGTCAGTTATGCATATTCTGTGGGTCAGCACCAGTCTAGTCATGCGTAAGGTTACTGTATTATATGGTCCAGGGTATTTATCTTAATAGAATGAAGTTTTCAAAAACCCAATGAAGGTTATTTCAGCATTATCCAGGAAGCTGTTCAATACTCACACATTGGGGAAACCTCAAATTGTCGTATGTAGCACAATCTTCAGAGTCGAGTACACAGAGTTCTGTCAGTTCTGTCAGACTTGTACCTAGTTTCTCTAGTAAATACCGAGCAAACTGAAAAAGAAGGAACAAAAGATCCTTTGATATATATACTGATATATACACTGATATACATATGGATATATACATCGATATACATAGATATATACACTGATATATATACACCAATATACATACGGATATATACATCGATATATATATTTACACAGTGACTCCCTTGAGCTGAATTTCATCAACACGGAACAAATTTACACCACTTTAGAGACATGTTAAAAAAATAATTGTGATAATTTTTGACAGCATTTTGATAAATAATAAATATAAAAAAAACCCTTTGCACTGCACTTTTTCTATAGATTTGGAAGGTGATTGCCAAATTTTAAAAAACAATATGTTGAAAAGTGTTTGTGTTATTTGTTGAACAAAAATTCCCACTGAGTTCAAAATATGTAGAATGATGCAACTCTAGCAAGCCTTTCCACTGTACCTCTCCTTTAGAGGAAGAAGCTGGGTTTTTTTCAATTTTGAAAACATTTCGACCATTACATTGCAATTAATTAGTTGAACAATATTTCCTAAGTTCAATTTTGTAAATTTCTGTAATTCTTGATAAAATCAAATTATCATAATCAAAATTTGAACTGCACCTCTCCATTAGACAAAGAAGGTGGTGCCAAATTTGAAAACAATCCCACCAAAAGCTTTTAAGTAATTGTTTGAATAAATCTGGCTTCTAACTGATGGATTGATGGACAGACAGATGGACATACAGAATTCCTTGGTGTATCTTATATACTCCTGATGCCTTTAGGTCGGTTGGGGTATAACAACCACTGTAAACAGAAGCCAGGGTTCAACACAAAAAAATATTATTATTTTTTTACATAATTTTTATTTATTTATTTTTTTTAATTAATGATTTTACTGGCTTCTAAAAAAATCAACAAAAGACATTCAGGTTACATTCGTACAAGCATGATTTACAAATTATATAAACAATCCATGACTTGAAGACCAAAACTTATATAAGGCGCTGATATTGCACTCCTTTAGAGAAGAACACTTAGTTATTATAGAGTAGTGTCTAATTTCATTCTGGAAAACATGAAAAAGTGGCACACTGTATTAATAAAACTATTTTATTGATCCAAGACAATTGGAAAAGTATCAAAGATGGATTACATTTTCCATGGTCAAATAGAAACCAAATATTTCAAACATGAGCAATCAATGTTTTTTAGTTGCTACTGAATTTTTTTATTTTTTTATAATTGATAATTTTTATTTCCAGCTTCCCCTGTTACAGAAAAGGCCGTTGAGCCAGGGAAATCTAAGGTCCTTTGCAAGAAGGTTCATTGATCACAGGAAAAACAGGATTTTTTTCTAACAAAGCAAAAAACAACAACAGCAGACACCACAACACATTCACTCACCAATCACACTTACAAGCTTCAAATATTTACAGTAAGTTTAAGTTCCAGTCCATTCAGCCTATATATTTCATTAGGGAACAAGAAGAAAGAATTCAAAAAATCATTTAAAATTTGCAAAATCATGATATAACATCCACTTTTTATTAAACGTATCTCGTAAATAATGTCTAAAATGTTTAAAACTAAGAGTAGTTTTTGATACCTTTATACATGAAGAATTTAGCTAACAACAATATTAAATCAAACACATCATCAGTATATACATTTGTTCTCATTCCAAACACAATAAGTTGCAGGTCCAATTTCATGCTGTAAACATGTTGACATTTATCATTCAATAATTCTAGAAAACATTTCCAAAAAGCTTGCACATGTTCACAATACCAAAACAAGTGGGAGATTGTTTCAACCTCATATTGACAAAAGGTACATAAGTTGCTTTCAGCTAATTTGATCTTAAATAGAAATGAATTAGTTGATAGAATACCATGTATAATCCTGAACTGAAACCATTGAAGTTTAGTATCCCTTGTAGTCTTTCAAGGTTTTTAAAACCCTTCTTTTCATTCAAGTTCAGCAAGCATACAATCCTCCCACTCATTCATGAATTTTAAGTTTACATCAGATGCAGTCAAAACATAGTAATAACACTTGGCTCCCCTCTTAACAGACATCAGATTCGAATTGGATACCCCTTTTTGACGTTGTCAGTTTGTTTTTTTGTTATTGGACATATTGGGTTGAGATCGGTGGGGATGATGGGCGAGAACAAACTCAGAAGCGTCCTCCTGGTCTCGTAGCCATACCGGAAGTCTTGTTACTGAATTTTAATTTAACTCTTACTTTTTATGTAAACGGACAGGAAATACCATTAGAAGTTTCAACCAGAAAGTTGCCAGTGTGTGTTAATGATTCTTATAGCTTGTATTGAATTAAAAGCATATTTGAACCTTCTGAATATCTCACCTCATGTTTAGGATCAATGTTGAAGTCAATTGAATTCAAATCAGCACCTGGTAGATCTTTCATCATTTCAGCTAACCTTTGTGAACAATGAAATAAAACTTTGATTAACAGTCACTGTAAATATGGAACATGTGTTGCAATCTTAAAACATATTACCAGGTGAGCTGAGAGGTAGAGGGTAGGGTAGAGTATAGGGAAGAGGTTAGGTAGGGTAGGGTAGGGTAGGGGGTAGGATAGGGCAGAAGGTAGGTAGGGTAGGGTAGAGAACAGGGTAGAGTAGGGTAGGGTAGAGAGCAGGGTAAGGGGTAGGATAGGGCAGAAGGTAGGTAGGGTAGGGTAGAGAACAGGGTAGAATAGGGGGAGGGTAGAGAGCAGAGTAGGGTAGGGGGTAGGGTGGGGGGTGGGATAGAGGCAGAAGGTGGGTAGGAGGTGGGGTGAGAGAGCAGGAGTGGGGCAGGAGGGTAGGGGTGGGGGGTAGGATAAAGGCAGAAGGTAGAGTAAAAGGTAAAGTAGAGAGCAGGATAGGGAAGGGTAGGGTGGAGAGCAGAGTAGAGGGTGGGGGTAGGATGGGGCAGAAGGTGGGTAGGGGTGGGGTGAGAGCAGGGGTGAGGGCAGAGGGTAGGGTAGGAGACAGGAATGTAAGTAGGGTAGGAGAGCAGGGTAGGGTAGGGTAGAGGGGTAGTGTGGGGTAGGGGGTAGTATAGGGCAGAAGGTGGGTAGGGTAGGGTGAGAGCAGGGCAGAGGCAGGGCAGGGGTAGAGTAGGGTAGGACAGAAGGAAAGAAGTAGGAGCAGGGTAGGGCAGAAGGTAGGTGGGGTGGGATAAAAGTAGGGTGGGGATGGGAGGATAGGGCAGAAGGTGGGTAGGGTGGGGTAGAGAGCAGGGTGAGACAGAGGGGTGGGGTGGGGCAGAATGTAAGTAGGGGTAGGGAGCAGGGTGGGGGGTGGGATAGGGGCAGAAGGTAGGTAGGGGTGGGGTAGAGAGCAGGGTAGGGCAGAGGGGTAGGGTGGGGGCAGAATGTAAGTAGGGGTGAGGGGTGGGTAGGGCAGGATGGGGGTAGAATAGGGTGGGGCCAGAAGGTGGGTAGGGTGGGGGTGGAGGGGTAGGTAGGGTAGAGGACAAAAGGTAGGCAGGGCAGGGAGGGAGACAGGGCAGGGCAGGGGCAGGGCAGGGCAGGGCAGGGGAGGGCAGGGCAGGGCAGGGCATTATAAGGTCACTGTCACCTACCTGGTCACCAGCGGTTGACTGAGAAGAAAGCCAGCCCTTACATCAGGCATGGCAAAGGCTTCAGGGTCATCAGAGCCGTAGAAATGATGGATGATACTTATTTGTGCGTCATGTAACCCTCTGCCAAGGAATACATCCTGCAATGAAACACAAATTCCCCGATAAGTTGATGATGATAAACAATAAATAATACCCAATCTCAGTCTACGTTAACAGATGAAATGAAGACAGCTGGCCATTAGGGTGAGGTCAGGTGAAATTGGGTTTAACGTCGTGCTTGAGAATATTTCGCTCATATGACGACGTGCATTCGTGTGTATGTGTATGTGCGCCTGCTTGTACTAGCCCAGACTGAAGCTGGTTTTATAGTGCTAGCCCACTGACATACCATGCCGCAGTGAAGCATGAATACCCCACTCAGACACATTATACTGTCTCCGAGCTGACCAGTCCTTGTTGTACCCATTAAAGCCGAGCGCCAGGCAGGGACCAACAAGTACCATATTTTAACGTCTTTTGGTATGACGCGGTCGGGGACACTGATACAGAGCGGTTCTTGTTTCTCACCAACAATCTAATCAGTCTAGCTGCCAGTAGTCAGTCCTTGCACCTTTGACAATGACAGACACAGGGACTGGGCAGCTGTCTATCTTGTCAACCAAAACAATGGGACAATAAGAATGGTTGATGCCCATAAGATGCTGTTATTTGAAAACATCCCCGTTTGTCCTTGTCTGATTGTAATAAAGTATTCTAGCTTGTAGGCTTTTTCGGATTTTCTGAGGCTTGGATGGTATGATGACTGATCCAATTTGATCCTAGTTCTGTGTTTTTTACCTGATATTTAATCATGTCATGTAACAATATGATATCTATTGACCTATGATATTTAAAACACACACTTGATTCATTTGATTCCATAAACTAAATCAATCCAACTTTGCCTTTGCCAGAAAAATAAAAAAAAATCCCTAGGTAAATATACAGTTATTAACTTTAGTACACAGCAAATATATTTCTTTTGCAACAACGAAGCTACTTTCATATACTCAAAACAGCATCAATTAAAATTGCATGAAATACAGCGATTTTTATTCCCTTGCTGTAATCAGTGTTTGATGGCATAAACCTACACCTGTTTATTTGTCACCTTTCACTTGATAGTCAGTTAATGAATTTATAACATATAATTAGTGGTAACACCACTCACATTACCCAACAAAGGTTCCCATTTAGCATTTCTCGTGTTGGTAGTAAATTCTCAACATTATAAATGTAGCCAGTGTATTACATGTTATGTCATGCCAATGGAAGCGCAGCAAGAGGAATTATCAGAGTTAAAAAGCACAAACACTGATCAAAGGATTAACCGACAACATGTTGATTGCTTAATTACTTTTATCTGGAAAAATGAAATTTTTAGAGTAAAATTAATATTTTTATACTTATCCTGACTCATGTTTATTTGCTTGTCTTCTTCTTCTGGCGAACCTAGTGGAACACTTGTATCTCCCAATTGAAGCTCCCTTCAATAAAAAATCACTCATTAGTACTCACCCCGAGTTATCTCCCTTTCCGTAGGCGCGGGAAGGAGGGCGCCACCCAAGCCCATGTGCCTCACTCTCTCCTTTTTTGTTTTGAGCCCAACACTTTATTTTTCCCGAGAAATCCAAAGTGTTAAGTGGGGAGGACGGGAGGGCTTACCTCATGAGTCAGGATAAGTATAAAAATATTAATTTTACTCTAAAAATTTCATATTTTTTCTTATCCTGACTCATGTTTATTTGCTTGTAGAATCCTACGGAATAGGAGGTGGGATTATATATACTTTGGATTTTACTAATTAGTGATTTGAACTGAAATGATTGTAATAACCCTAAGGGAACTTCATGAAGGCACTGAACTGAATTCCTGCTGTTAAATTAACAGCTGCCTTTAAATAGGTTATTACAATTTACTGAATAAAAGTATATAGAACATTAATTAAAGGTCACATGCAACCAAAAAATCAAACATAATTAAAACACAATTATCACTTATTCATGACATATAATATGCATTGCTGATTATGAAAAAACAAATAAACAAAATTATAAGCGTATAGTCGCAAATCAAAAGTGCAATATTTTGTACTTGGGTTTACCTCCCTCGAAACGAAGCAGGCGGGATACCGAACCCAGTCAGAGCGGGTGGGAGTGCACTCAAGTGTAACTTCTGGTTCATTAGCAGATGCCGCCTTCACGGCTTATTGTGTGTGTGTATATAGAGATGTTGGGTTTTGTAAATACATGATCAGTTTTTGTGTATAACATTTTGCAATCAACAGACATCATAACATGTCATGTGTTCAAGTATCACACCTGCCTGTCTGTGTAATTACATAATGTGACAGAGACCGAACTCGGGCCATAAATCAATGCGTTTTGTTTATGGTGTATAGCCTGACTGGTGTTAAGTTCAAATTGCATGTGGTCAGTGATAGCAGTTGTGTACTGAATATTGTCATTAGCAGACAGGCAGGCAGACACACAGGTGACAATAAAACAAGACATTGAGTTTTGTCTGTGACAACGACATATCTATATCAGAGTTAGAAATTGTGTCAACGCTAAATAATGACATTGCTTTTAAGTATCGAACTGAGAAAGTGACTCGGTAAGGAGAACGTGTGGTGAAATAGACAAATGAAATTATATAAACAGTTTATTTACTGTCATAACATATAAAAAGCTCGCGCCTGTGAGATATCAACAAAACATTATGAAAATAGCTCACACCAAAGCCTTCACCAGACAGCCCGCTTCCAAGTTGCGCGAACCTATTTCACTGCGCACATGCTATGAGCGCAGCCCAGCTGTTGAAACCCGTTTTCCCCAGAAAAGTCTGGGGAAATTTAGTGAAACGTTTGAACTCCGATTTCGCGCGGTTTTTTTCATCGCGTTATTTTTCAACTTTATAACTTGAATTTGCATTTTTGATGATTTATTTCGGTAAGTCCATACCGAAAGGTATCAGAATCTGCAAAGTTGTGTTTTACGTTGCATGTGACCTTTAAGCTAAAGCCATTAATGTGGTAGTATAAACTGTTGATAGTTTATAGTGAATACTTTTATAAGAACCAAAGTAGTAAGCTTACAATATGCATATATATAAGCTATAACATAACTGTGCCTAAGGTATAATGATAACTTAAGCTGTATAATAGTAACCAACTACTGAGAGTTTGTTAACTAATACATGTTATGAAATGAACATATGATAGAGCTTAAAGATTAACTTAAGCTGAACATATATATAATAGTAAAACTCGTAAGAGTTGTAAGTATATATATATATTATGATAAAGAATCATAGTACTGAGCTTAAGATAATATGTTAACTTAAGCAAATATATATATAGATAGCATACAGCTATTAATAGTGTTATCAGATAAGTATAAAATCAGCAAGATAGACTTATCCGTGGAACTGTCAACTGTTGAGCGAGGACCATGGGACCGAAAATGGTGGATACCTGAGACGCCCTTGGTGGTGATATCTCTCAGATAATGGTTTGCAAACACCATCTCGGACCTCCAAAACATCCCTCCATAATGGTATTCAAGGAACAATTTCCATGTAAAGCCAAAGTTGAGGCTAGTGCTCTAATTTCGTGGGGATTAGCAGCACTTGGAGGGTTCAGTCCAGCTGCCTTGTAGGCTTTTAGTATGACAGTTCTGATCCAAATAGAAATGGTAGTGCTGCGACACTTCTGTCTGTGAAGCGGTAGATATAGGGATAAACAATCTTTTGAATTTCCCTCTACTCTGCTTGGATCTTTGGAGATATATTTTCAGTGCACGACGGGCAAAGTGATAAGTCCATCGTATCCTCGCGGCCCAAGTATGGATGAGAGAGCTGGGACATGGAACAACCTGTCTGGTTTACCTGGTAGTTGATTTTCGCTATAAAATCCCAGCGAGTAAGTCCCAGATGAGCGATGTTGTGAATATCATCAAATCGTGTTCTCTCATAGTCCAAAGCGTGAATTTCCCGACATTCTGGCGGCAGTGGCTAACGCTAGCAGGAATAAGGTTTTGTGGGTCAATGATTCATATGACGCAGATAACAATGGTTCGTAAGCCTCACTTGTGAGGTGTTGAAGTATCACATTTAGATCCCAGGCTGGCTTTGAAATTTCCGCTTCTGATCTTCCAATCGGAAGGGCGTAGCAAAGGCGAGTAACTCCGTGTTCTGGTCAGTTTGATGCCCGTTCTCATAGTAATGACTGAGCTTATGGCTGCAAGATAAGTGGATAGTGTAGATCCTTTGAGATTCTTAGTTTGGCGTAGGAAACATAAGAAATCTGCCACTTGAGGATGTGTAGCAAATCTGGCTGAAAATCCTTTCTTAGCCGCATAATTGACAAATCTGAGCCATTTATCATCGCATAAATTACGAAAGTGGAGTTACGTGAGTGCAAGCGTGACGACCGCCGCCGCTCTGTTGGAATAGCCTCTCTTATTCAAACACGCCTTGATACAATCCACACGTGAAGTTGAAATGCTTCTGGTGTTTTGTGCACTTGTTTGGTGTGTGGATGTATCAGTAGATTGGAGCGCAGTGGGAGCTGAAGTACTGGTTTTCCTATTCTTCGTATGAGGTCTGGAAACCACGCTCGCTGGCCAGTAGCATGCGAGACCAAAATCAGATCGAGGCTCTTCGTTTGACTGATTTTTAGCAAGACTTGTGGGATCAACGCAGGAGGCGGAAAGCGTCGACGCGTTTAGTCCTCCCACGATATGCTTAGCGCGTCCGTTGCCCATGCTAGTGGGTCTGGTACTGGCGATCTGAAGGTTGTCAGTTGATTGTTGAATCGGGTGGCAAATAGATCTATCAGAGGAGATCCTATTTCCATGATTATCTGATTGAATATTTCTGTGTGGAGCATCCATTCTGTCGGGCGATGGTTGGTGTGGCGAGAGAGGCGTCTGCTAACACATTCTTTGCTCCTGGAATGTGGCAGGCTTTGATACGATATGTTTAGACTGTCGACTAGATCGAACAGTTTGAAACATCGAGTGAGTAGATTCAGTGATCTTGTTGACCCTTGTTTGTTCACATAGAAGCGCCACTGTGGAGTTGTCTGTATGAATCA